TGTCAGGGGCTTCACAGATTTACAAATCAATAACCTCAACCCATGCTCTGATACCACATGTTAACTTTAGTGGGCAGGACCTTTGGTTATGATTTCTAAATTAGTAATAATAACAACAACAATAAATACATACCTTGTTATGTTGTAATCTTCTGGAACTGATGGTTGATCAAACACTGATCTTCTCTCTCCTGACTCACTTTCATAATAATTGTGTATATCATGGGTGAACTGCAATTGATTCGTGTGAGTGGAGAGAGGACCAAAGAGTAGCAGTAGTTTATATAGAGTAGAGTTCCATTTCCATCATGGAACCTACTCTTACGATAAGTCCTCTCTTTTAACCTCCTTTATCAGTTACTATATCTACCAACTGTAATAGTGGTTAACCTACTAGGTAAATTTCTAATAGATAATAGTCCAATAGTAATTATTGGGATATAAATAATAAGTAATTAATGTGGTCAAGAAGTCCACTCATAATAAATTACTTATAATTCTAACACATATGACCTTTCTTTCTTTTTCTTTCTTTTTTTAATTTAATGAAGCTTTCATCCTTGATAAATATGAACAATCTTCATGGAATACTCATTCAAAAACTGTATTTCACTTTTTATCAATGACCATTTTTACTATGAATCATGTGTAAACCACATTAACCCATATGTAGCTTGCTTTTGAACAACTTTCACAACTTGCTAATATTCATAACACCAAACTCTTTTCTTTTCTTTTTTTGATTCACCATAATGCTAATACGCAGAAAATCAAACTCTCAACAACAATTAAGATCATTGCCAAAAATAATAACTTCATCATTGTTTTTGATTTACCAAATTCTCTGAACCACTTACCTACTTGAAAATAATATTTGAAAACAAGAAAGGAATAGATAATATCTCCAAAATAATTACAATTCACAAAACCATTAAAATTTATAATCTTAAAATTTCTCACAAATCAAGAAATTTTGCCATAATTGCTTGTTTATTAAACACAAACAATAGGATACCTTTGTTCCCATGCTCCTTAAAAGAAAATGGAAAAAAAACACAAGATAATAATTAAATAAATGAAAGAGGATTCTGGAAAATTGAGTACAAAAGATAATGATTTTTGAGCAATTAATATGGGCTTGAGCGCGAAGAAGAACTTGAAGATAGATCGACGATTTATGAAACTTAAGAACTAAAAAGTTGTGTAAGAGTTGTACAGTGTTATATCTTCATATTACATTTTTATTTAATTGATAATAAGGGGTTTATTAAGATACTTTCCACCCAATAATTATGGATGACTTGTCAAATTTTAATTGTTGTGACTTAACTAAATGGTTTACTACTCAAAAAGTAATGACTGGACCATATATATATATATATATATATATATATATATATATATATATATAAAAGATACGTGTATCATTTATAAAATGTGTGAAATAATAGGGAGTACCTAGTTTAAGGTGAAGATGATTTCTCCTCAGGATAAGATCTTCAATAATTGAAAACTCGCCATGTTTCTTGGTGCTAGACCACTACAAAAAAACGTCATTACCCACTGTTTTTAGCCATCCGTGGGTAAATCGTATGTAATTACCCACGCATTACCCACGTATTACCCACGAAGTGTTGACCAAAGTCTAGTCCTGTATAAAATTCAATTTACCCACACTATACCCACAGCTTACCCACGGAATTACCCACGACAAACAAGCATCGTGGGTAATCCGTGGCAAATATTTTCCCGTCAACCAATTTCTCATGAAATACTCACGTAATTCCTTGTGGATAATTACATACCAAGATTATCGTGGGTAATTTTTTCCGCCAATCATTTTTCCACGTGTTACCCACGAAAATTATTGTGGGTAATTACACACGAAGATTATCGTAGGTAATCCGTGGGTAAGAATTAGATTACCCACGATATACTCACGACTTGTATTGTGGGTAACACTAAACTATAATCAAAGATCGAATTATGATTTGTTAATTCATTGTCGACAGGACTAATGAATTCGTCTATTTTCATTAATATATCGAAGATATCAATAAGATAATTATGGATATACAGAACATGTGAATCCTGTGGTTTTCTATGCCACAACAATAGCATTTGCAATATACTACTTTTAACTTCAGATCAATAGTAGTGTTTTCACTATTTTTCTAACTTCATCAGATGGTTAGTAGTGTATTTGCTAGAATCACCACTATTATTATTGCATGTTCGTTTCATTTACTTCAGGAAATGGACCATGTCTAAATTGAACATGTCTTCAAATCAACTCTCCAACTTCAGGTGAAGAATTGTATATATACATAACTATTATAAATTTAATGTCTACAATTTGCCTAGAAATAATTTACTGCCCACTCACTTTGGAGAATGGAATGAAATCAATTTATAAGATTTCATCAAATATTTCGCTATAGTGCTACTACTGGAGCATTTTAATATGCTAAATATGTTATCACAACATTGCTGCTTCAAGAGCAACTTTGATGCATTTACATATTGCTACTAGCAATATATTTACTTTCATTACTAAATATGAGTATTACTATGACCAAAGTAAACTATAAAAGTACAAAGAAAATATGAGAATGGGATTAAACGGAAAGTTTTTGAGGTCACGGCGCTTTAGATCACGAAAATCTTTTAAAATATTCATTGAGGCTTTAGGCCTTCAGAATCAATACGCACCAACTTCAGGCGGTGATAGAATTAAAATATTCATTGAGGCTTCAGACCTTCAAAATCAATACGCACCAACTTCAGATGGTTGTAGAAACTCTTTTACTAGAGTCTTATGCTGATAACGTGTTATAAAATTAATATTAAACTAGTATATGAAACTAAGCATAAGAACAAGAGAGTAGAAAGAAATAAGAGACTTGTATTCAGATATATTTTGAAGAATGAATGAGCTCCCTATTTATACAAGAAGTAGGAGATCAAACTATGATAAATGAATCACCTATCATTAATGCTAAATATTACAGAATTATATCTCCTTGATTGTGAATAGAATAATACATATTAATATAGACATTCAATCAAATCAGATTTTTCCATAACAAATTTATCATTTTTTCTAAAAGTGACAACAATAAGTTAAAACTATTAAAAACGAGAATCCTAGTACATTTTACATAATATTTGATTTCGATCTTGGTCTTGAGCCGGACCAAATGCCGTAGAAAATCCAATTAATTAGGAGGCTTTTCACTTTTCAGTTCAAAAATTCCAACGGTCTGCTTTTCCGTTATTCTGATTCAAAAACTCTTCCCCTTCCAAAATACAAACACCATTTGTTCCCATTTCCCGTACCACTTTTCTCTCTCACACAGTCACACACTGGAGGAAAAAATGGCGAAAGACGAAACTCCACCCGAGCTAGCGAACTCATCAGCAGAAGAAGGAGACAAAAAGGAGAAGAGGATCCCTGTGTTCACTGTGCTAAAGAACAATTCCATTTTGAAGAACATCTTCCTCGTCGACAGTCCTCCGTCTCCGTCAAATTCACCGGCGATTAGCAGCGGCGTCGTATTGGAAGAGGTTCTGGTGGTCGGGCGACACCCCGATTGTAACATTACTTTGGAACATCCTAGTATCAGCAGATTTCACCTCCGGATTCACTCCATTCCAGCGCTTCAAAAACTCTCTGTCTTCGACTTATCTTCTGGTAATTACTTACTCTTCCATGTGTATCTTTCAAAAACTTGTTGAGTTCGTGCAATCTTGTACGCGAGCGATCAATCGCTATTTTACTTTGAGTTCTTATGTCCTTGAATTTCGTTTTGTTATGTTCATAATTCTTTTATGAAAGGATCAAGTCTTGTATTAGATTTCTATTTTCCCGTTTCATACTATGCAATTGCGATTAGGTTTCTGAGCTAATAATTGTTTAAATTGAAACTTTCCATTTATGGAGGACTTATTTTGTGTATTTTAACTGGATTTCAAATGTTGTAAGGATTTGAAAAAGAAAAATGAGGCTGAGATTAAGGTTTTGGGTGAGTGGTGAGCTAAAGTATTTTCAATTGCAATGACGAAGGGTTTACTTGAGTGGTGAATTTCAACTATTGACGCCCTTTCCTGTTATTTTTCGTCTTAAAATCAGAAGTGGCATTTGTTAGGGCACCAAGTAGGATGGTTTAGTTTCAACTGTTTAATATTTTTTTCCACTGTAATTTGGCGAGTTGTTGATTCTTGTCCTGCATCTAAGTATTCTGTATGAGGATTAGTTACTGAATAAAGGTGTTTAAATTTTGCACACTTAAGTGGAATAAGTTTTCTTGAAGAATTGATGAAGACGTATCAAACGTATAGTCCTAACTGATACGTGGTAAATTTTTCTCTAATATTTTTTCATTTTTTTCGGTGTCTTACGGTATTCACCTATCCTGATCGAGCTCTTATTAATATAGTAGTTCTGCTTTCTAGTTCATTTTTGAATTTCATTGTTTGTATCTTTCATCTTTGGCCTTGGAAACCAGCAATGCAATATTAGAGGGAAAGCCAAGATTCCACTGTCTTAAGTAGAAAGGACAAAAGTTCTAACTCAGCATCTGAATGTTAAGCATCCTCAGTAATGCAAATCTGCAAACTGCCAGCTTAGGCATCTGTTGTTACAATCAATGCATATTACAAATCAATCAATTAGAGACTTTGAGGAAGTGGAGATATTGGGACTACTGTAGTGGACTTTGTTCAAAACATTTAGTTCAATTGCATCTCGTGCATCTTCTAAGTGTGTGTGTGTGTGTGTGTGTGTGTGTGTTTTCCTTTTCTTGGGTCCTGTAGACCTCAAAGTATGTGATACCTGGTCAAGAATGCTATATGGTTTTCTGGTCTCATTTTACTTGACTTTGTGCTTTGGCGTTTGTTGGGAGACCCCACTTTATTCATGTGGCTGAACTTGGAGATTATTTTCTGTCTCTTAATTTGAATTGTCTTAATTTTCAAACCGTAACAAAATCAAATAGTGGTGTTGCTCTGGATCCATTGTATTTGGAGGAAGAATGTCAAGCATTGCATTGTGCATGAGGGAGATGATATTATTGGTTGAAACAAATCTCTGTGAGATAATTTAGTCATTCTTCAGGAAAATGATGCTTAAAAGTCAAATGGAAAGAAGATTTCAGTTGTGGTCAAGTTCTTAAAAGTTTAATTCGAGACATGAAGCTGGTGTTTGTTTCTTTTATTGTCACTTCTGTGTCTGTGTTAAGTAAGGATTGGAAAGGAGTAAGGCTTGGCTTTCCGGGATAGTTCACGCATTTTTATGAAACACTGCTCAATGGAAAATAGATATTGATTGGGGCTGAGAAGAGAGATGGCAAATTCTGAGTTTGTGATCCTATTCTATATCATCACCTTTTTTTTGTGTCAGTTAAGGGTTGGGGAGGGGTAACGCTTTCTGGCATGGTTTATTCATTCTTCAGAAAAGTATGTTCAAATGGGGAAAAGGTGAATTTTTACTGTGGTCAAGTTTTTCGAAGACAGCAACATAATTTAGTGTTGATATCCTTTCTCGTGATATTGCTGTTGTTGTCGTATGGAATTATAATTGCCTGATACATGGTGATAAACTGAGCTTTCTGTTTATATCAGACATTTTGATAGGGGCCTGTCTCCTCTCACTTTTATGCATGTGTCCATATTTGTGTATGTTTAATGGCACATGTGGATTGGAATCTTAGTGTTGTCAGTTAATCTATACCTCTGGAACTATCTTGTTGTGGATTAATATAGAATGTGGTTGTTACTAATTGATTATCTGTCAACTCTTCTGTGTTGGTCAAGAGTTCATTAATCTTTGTATAATTTGATGACTGACTTGATTGCACGAACTTGATCATTATCTACTTAGAATACCTGAGATTGACTTTTGTGACATTGACTTCTTAATATACTGATCTTTTCAGTACATGGGACTTGGGTTTCTGGAAAGAAGGTTGAACCTGGGGTTCGAGTGGAATTGCATGAGGGTGACACACTGCAGCTTGGCGGTTCAACTAGAGTGTACAGACTTCATTGGATGCCATTGAGTCTTGCATATGACATGAAGAATCCTTTTGTGCCTACACTGGAGGCCTCAGAGGCAGTGCATGTAAGCAAAGATGAAGCACAACCACATCTGGTGAGCTTCAAGATTTTAAGGTCTTGATTTTAGACTTTGCCTCTTAAATGGAATTTGTTTGAATATCTTTACTTTGCATTTTACAGGAAAGTAATCTCCCACATCTTAAAGACGATGAATCTGAGTTCCAGGATGATTATGCTGAAGGTTTAGATTTGCTATTTTCTGATATGGATATGAAGTCACAAATGGAACAGTTGACTTCATATGCACCACTACGGCTTGACAACACTAAACCACCATTCCATTATGAGGCTGCAGAGAACAATAGTTCCTTACCAGAAATTCTTCATCTAAGTGATGTTGCTGAAATACAACCTGTCGGGGAACTTGGTGGACTGGTGAGCTTCAAGATTTTAAGGTCTTGATTTTATACTTTGCCTTTAAATGGAATTTGTTTGAATATCTTTGCTTTGCATTTTACAGGAAAGTAATCTTCCACATCTTAAAGACGATGAAGCTGAGTTCCAGGATGATTATGTTGAAGGTTTAGATTTTCTATTTGCTGATATGGATATGAAGTCACAAATGGAACAGTTGACTTCATATGCACCTCTACTATTCCATTATGAGGCTGCGGAGAACAATAGTTCCTTACCAGAAATTCTTCATCTAAGTGATGTTGCTGAAATACAACCTGTTGGGGAACTTGGTGGTCTGGTGAGCTTGAAGATCTTATAATGATTTGGATTGGACCTGCTTTTAAATGGGACTGTAAAGGTTTATTTGCTTGTGCTTTTGCTTTTGTATTTTACAGGAAAGTGATGTTCTGCATCTTGAAAATAATGAAACTGAAATCCATGGCGATTACATTGAAGGTTTAGATTTGCTATTTTCTGATATGAATATGAAGTCACCAATGGAACAGCTGAATTCATATGCGTCTCTAGTGCTTGAAGACAAAGAACCACCACTTTATTCTGCACATGCAGAAAACAACAGTTCCTTGCTGGAAACTCTTCAGTTAAGTGATATTGCTGAAATAGTACCTGTCAGGGAACTTGGTGGACTGGTGAGCTTGAAGATCTTATGATGATTTTAATCATGAAGTCGACTTTGTGTGAACTTTGTTAATATTTCTTTGCTTTTGCATTTTACAGGACAGTGATGCACTTCACCTTCAAGATGACAAAACTGAGTTCCCGGGGGAGTATTTTGAAGGTTTAGATTTGTTGTTTTCTGATATGAATTTGATGTCACCAATGAGCCAGTTAACTGCATATGTACCTCGAGAGCTTGAAGACACAAAACTACCATTTAATTTTGAGAAGGATGCTGAGAATAAGTGTTCCTTCCAGGAAACTCTTAAGCTAAGTGAAATTGCTGAAACACAACCTATCAGGCAACTTGATGAAAAAAAAGTTGACCTGGAGTGGGGGCCCTTGACTTCTGCCATTGTAATGAACAATTCTTTTGTTCCTTTCAACATGCCAGAACCAGTGGAGGAAGGTGAAGAAGCTTTTACGCCTGACAAAGAGAACATGCTACCTAAAACTCGTTTGATGTTGTCCAGCAAGAAACAGGAAAGGTCGGGTAAAGTTAACTGTCCAAATATATACAGGGCATCCCCTTTGAAGAATGTTGGTTCAAATGTCTGCAAAGAAGTTCCCAAGCCTGCGATTTCGGAGAATTCCAGCCCCTCTAGGGAGGTACTTGAAAAGGAGCTATCTGATCGCACTTGCTCCAGTAGGGTAGCCAAGTCTGATGCAGATATTTTGAAGGTTAGAGAGCATAGAATCCCCTTTCAGTCTTTACCGGTGAGCTCAAATGAAACTGCATTGGAAGGTGTGGACTCGAAAGGAACTTCTAGAGGCTGTAAAACTGTTGTCAATTTGCAAATCAGGGAGTCAGTTCTTCCCTTTAACGTAAGTTTTGAACCGTTTGATCTTATTATATTTGAAATAGAGAAAGGAGTGTACTTATTTGATTCTTCTCTGTGCTTTTGGTATGTTTACAAATGAACTTAATTAGATATTACGAACAAGGTGAATGCTAAGCAGTGTGCATCAGAAACTTGTGTATGGTTGATGTGCACTACATTCTGCGGACAGAGTAGTTTTTCACTCTTTTGTGCTTTAATATGGGTTTGTAAGTTCTTGCATTACTCTCATAGACTTTCCAATATACATGTAGAACTCCAAGGGGAAAATCAAGACGTGGACCATGGTTGCTGACACTGCTAGTTTGCTTGACAAAGAGTCCAGGAAAGCTTTACAGCTTATGCAAGGTCTCCGCGGGACGAGTTTAATTATTCCCAGGATCGGTAATGCTTTCTTTTACTTATCACCAAAATTTTTCCATGGCTGATTATATTTTAAAGCTCTGAACTCGACAATTCCTGCATATCTTAAATGGCTGATTGCTATTAAATGATCATTGTTTGCAGTCATAAGGGAACTGGAACACATGAACAAACACTGTTACTTGTTCAGAAGAAACACAGTGGTTTCTTCAGCACTACAGTGGATTAAAGGTTGTATGGAGAATACAGAGTGGTGGATCCGTGTTCAGAGTTCAGCGAAAGATGCAGAGCAGATTGCACCAACCCCTCGAACTTGGCCTTTACCTCAAACGAGTGAAGAAAAAGAGAAGTTTTCAGCTAGTTCAGTTCCTTCTTCTCCATTTGGTAGCTTTCTGGAAATTCTTACACCAACAGCTGAAGACCACATCCTTGACTGTGCTCTTTCCATCAGGAACACCCTGCCTAAGGGCCAGTTAGTCCTTCTTAGCGATGACGTTTCTCTCAAGATCAAGGCCATGGCTGAAGTAAGCAACACTAACGTTTAGCCACCCAAAAAAAAAAAAAAAAAAGCAGCTACACATTGTCTTTTTTTTGCTGTTGAATAGAACATACTTGTTTCTCTGTGAATCACATTTGTTATTTTTCTGCAACAGGGTTTGCTTTGTGAGACAGCCCAAGAGTTTCGCGAAAGTCTAGTCAACCCATTTTCGAGTAGATTTCTGTGGGCTGACAGCTCCCCAAGAGGACCTACTTGGTCCTGCCGTGATGAGGTTGTCCTTAGGGAGAAATACTGCAATGTTCCTTCAAGAAAGTATCAAAGATTGGGTGAAGTTGCTAAGGGCTTGAAGCTCATATTGCTTCATAATTCCCAGTACAGGCAGATGAGTTCTATCAGCTAAACCATTTGTCAGTGATTGTTGGTTCCATGAACAGCTAACACTTGGAAATCATCCGTAGTTATGCTTATTCTGAAATCGTCCATGCACAGATATCGTGTATATATCATTCCCGGTTTATGTGACGAATGAAGTAGAAACCTTTTATGCTTGACATTGTTGTAATCTTTTGGTTCTAGCTTCTTCGAAAACGAAAAGTAGAAGTCCTTGAATTTGCTGGATATAGAGTTTCAGATTTTTATGTTCTTGTGTTTTAAGAATAACACCATCAGTCTGCTAATCAAAAAAAAAAAAAAAATCAAAGTAAAACAAAGTAAAGAATTGCAAATTTCATTTAGGCGGCCTGATTTGTGCATAACTCAATATGGAAAATATCAGATCAAGTGTTTCCAAGATAATGACATAATCTAAGGATAAACCGTGAACTACATGTAAGAGCTATAGATATTGTCTACTAAGAACTGAATTCCCAACCACTGAGTTTCAAACCACAAGCTTTTTCGTTTGCTTCTTATGATTATTACTGTTCTAAACCCAAAAAAAATTACAACAATTTACCCTAAATCAGTCAAGTGCCATACAATTTACTGAAACCAAACAAACAGCACCAGGCATTATGAAAGTTCTAATGCATCATGCATGTCCTGAAATTGTAACCAAAATTCTTTTACCTAATTTACAAATCATTCTTCTACATTAAGTACTATGATACAATTCACCGTCTTCTTTCCTCTAATGCAGTATTTTCTGTAAGCAATGTGATTCGAATTCTCAACCTTTACATGAGACTACTCGATTTCAGAGAACTGGTAGTAATTACAAACGACATTGAAGAAAAAGACGAAGCTTCTCTCTATGAGTGCATAGATTTAAAACCCTCTGTCAGAGCTCCTACTTTTGCGGAGACCTTCGTTTGCAATGCCAATACAGCTTGGCGGATGTCCTGAAACAGTGAAGGAAACTACAATGTAAATCAGAAGCAACTGGGGATAATTTGCATCAATGTGTTCATTTTTATGTTGTTTACGCCTTATTTTTGTTCCTTTTTTTCCGCTTTTTGGGGTGGTTTGCATACGCATCTTAAAAACAGCTAAGTAAAACCAAACAATAATATCCCCAACCAAATCTATCCTTGTCACAACAGCCAAAGAACTACAGAAAGTAGTACTCAATAAACAAGCAGAGACAGGTCGAGCCAGAAAGCTGAGGGGGGTAACCAGAACAGTACAAGGATAAATAAAGATAAGGAAGGAGGACAAGCAAAGAAAAAAAAGGAAAACAAAAAACACACGGCCAATCAAAAAATGCTCAAGGATAAGAAAGCAATTAAAATCTAAATTATATGGCAACCAGTTGATCTTTATTAAGGGTGAACATGCTTCAACCAGTTGATTTTTAGTTTACCTCGATATTGTAGCGGGAAGAGAAATGCGTCAATAAAATTGATTTACTCCGAATCCATTGAGCATGCTCCATAAGCTGCATAAATAATTGTAAGAATTGTTGATACACTAACAAAACCCAAAAGTATCCTTTCCCAGAGGAAAAGGGCTTGTCTAAACTGTTAGAATGCTATTTTCCTGTATTTCCATTAGTGGAGATAATGCAGCTGAATTAGAATAAAGTCCATATAATGGGGAGATTGGTTCTAACAAAATAGTTACCTCGAACAGATGGGTATGCCCGTGATCTCTTGCATGTTCAACAGTGACATTTTCATCCAAAAAGGTTGCCTGTTAAAAATAAGCGGGAAGTGTGATGAGGCAGTATATTACATCAAAGATTCTTTATGTGAGAGAGAGAGAGAGAGAGATAGTTGGTGGCTTTATGTGGTTAAAGGTTTGGAATTTAACCAAATCTAGACGATGAATCCAAGGAAATAGATATGCAAGCAAAAGTTGCATAATCAAATCTAAGAAGCCTGTCATGAAATTATAAATATCTCCGGTTTTAACTCTATGGATAATCAAGAATAGACAAACCATATATTCAAAATACGGACGAGGAAAATGCATCAGAGATCTTAAAGGTTCAATCAGGAATCTTTCTGATTATCTCATACAAAAGGGTAAAGCTCAAAATAGAAAAAAAAAAAAAAAAAAAAAAGAAGAAGAAGGAAGAAGAAGAAGAAGAAGAAAGAAGCTCAAAATAGATCCAGCTCAATCGTACTAAAACGTTTAATTCTTTGGAGTCCAAGAGATTGATCACTTGGAACCACCTTATACCCTGTCTAACATTCGAAATTAACTGCAGACATTTTGTAGCAACGACCAATTTATCACAGTTCAATCACACATCAGTGACTTTAAATTGAACAATATGCATTAGATGAATCAGAAAAACTTCAGGAGAAATGGTTCATTCAAGACGTTAACGTAAGAATGAGTAAAAGATAAGACCTTTGAGAAAATACTGGCCTGTTACACCTTACCAAATGAACCAACAGATGGATTTTAATTATTGCAAAAAGGAGAAATATTTACCTCAGTTATAAGAATCTTTGCCCGCAAGGCATCAGCATTTCGTGGATCAAGGAGAAAATCAGATCTCGTGTCCCCAGTAAACGCCAACTCAGGGCACAAGATAGTATTTGTAATCTGAAAAGATGTTTCATCAATAAAATAGGGAGATGGAAATTTCACAGCAAAAGCAAAGGAATGCAAGCAAGCAAACCTCAACACCAGACTTCTTCAATTTCTCAATTTGCTGTCCCTTTAAATGTGCAAATTGCTTCCTCAGTTTCTTTCTAACAGAATAAATAACATAACCCTGTCCACATAGATAGAAGTTAGGACAAGGGCAAAATTCAACAATGTTGCAAACAAATTAACCAATACTAAGTATGATAGTGCAATTGGATATCCTGATAAACAATAACAAGCCTATTTCATTTTGTTTACTTAAGCATGTATGTGGCAGGTTTTGTTGTTGTATGTCCATGCAAACATATGCACAGTTGTATTGAGATAAGACGTATAGTAACTGAAAGAAGGTTTTCCCATGGTTAAAAACAATATAATCTTAGATGTTACATCATAATTTTGTTCAATAATTTAACCAAAAGGTGATCATTACCTGACTGGGTATGACATGGTCAGTTTTAAATGGTCTAACCACAAGATCGTTCCGCATTTCATAAGTTTCCCCTGAAATACAAAATATGGAGTTATGAATGAGACAAAGAGATAAAAGACAAACATGAACTATACAACCGGGAAGCGTACTATACCTACGTCAAGAGCAACCAAATCAAAGTTAAGTTCTACATCACCCATGGATCTGTGGATGTCAAACAACTTCTCCACATCATCTTTGATACAAGGTGGCACAAAAATGGTTGGAGGCTTTAAATTGTAAAGACCACGAGTAGCCACATACATTGGAAGTCCACCCTGAAGCAGTAGGAGTTTTAGAAAACCGTTTCAACCTATGTACTTTTGTTCAGATATTCAAAATATGAGAACCAGACTAGAAGTACCACATCCAACAATGATTTCAAACAAGTTTAATACGGTCAAGGCACAGCAACCTGAGCTATAAGATATCTGGTGGTGATTACTGTCAATATATATACCAAACAATGCTTTACAGCAGCATATCCTGAATCAGTCAATCATGTAATACACATACCTCTACTATGTTTTTCTTGACATTACTAAAAGATTAAGTTGACTATTTTATTGGTTCTCAGGTTATACAAGAATTCATCCACCTAAATTTATGCCTTAAACAACAATGACATACATTTTATTTTATGGGTTTATACCATTTTTAATGCAGAAAACCCAAAATGCAATAGGAATTCCGTCAGTGGCACCACATTCCAGCTCAATGAAGAGAAAAAAAAAAAAAAGGGGGGTATTTTTTCAGTACAGCTACAATAATGAACCTAAATAATTTCCACCATCATCTCAAAGATAGACCATTCAATAAGTAGGCAAAGCTTACAATGTGGTCAAGATGGGCATGAGTGATGAAGCAGAAGTTCTGATGAATAGCTCGAGAAGGGCACCTCCCAATATCGAAAGCGGACTTAATTTGAGGCACAATCACACATGTTTCATGGCCACCAATTGAGATACCTTCAACAGAATATCCCTCCAAATTTACACCACTTTTCTGTACCTCAGCCCTGGCCCTTCTGTACTCTTCCTCTTCCTCAATTGCCTTCCCAATTGCAGACAAAATCCCTGAAGAAGAAGAAAAAGAAGAAGGACCCTTTGCGGAAACACTCAAGCTAGTACTGTTACTGCCCTCATGGCTGCTCATTAATGGGTTTGATTTGGGATGAAATTGAAGGTTTTGTGCAGAAGTATGAAGAGATGGCGGAGGGAAGAAGGAGAGATTTAAGGGAGGTTTTTGGAGATAACATTGGCAGCTTATTGCCGCCATGGTGATGTGAAATCTGAATTAGGAGGATCGGGGGAAAGCTGACTTTCTTTTAACAATTTACTTCAAAATTGGAGTAATAATATTTAAATTAATAAGTAAAACAATGTTACAGAAATTTTATTTTTTTTATAAAAAGACACAATATTGGATTGATAATGAAAATAACATTAATTAAAATTGAAGTAAAATTATTTGATATAGTTTACTACTAACATTTGTGAAATTAATGATATCTGAAAATAGAAAGTGACAGATAATGTGTTATAAAGCAAAAATACAAAATGATATTTGATTTATTTCGATGCAGATTGTAACATTTGATTGAATTTATACATAATCCATCAAAGTTTCAAAATGAAAATAGTACAAAATATTTTTTAAAAAAGAATGCGTATACATATCATTCTTACGGTTTAGTATTTTGTGATAATTATTTGAGATATGAATATACTGTATTTTAGCAGAAAATCTTATTTATTATTTATAATTTTTTTTCTTGAAATAAATGAATTGAGATGTAATATGGTGATAATTTTTGGTGATAGAGGATAGGTATTGGATTGCGGAAGAAACAATTACGTTTGGATAATTTTTTTAAAAAAAAGTTTTAATCATTTTATATTTTAGTTTAATTATATTTTTATGAATTGTATTCATACAATCTACAGTGTCTTGAGTTAATTGTAATAAACTAACATACTAATAAACTATTTTATAATCTAAGCTCAATATTTTATTTTTATGTGGAACACTAATTTTAGTTAACTTTTTTTATCTTTAGCTTAGGAAGAAAAAAACGGATCAAAAAAATAGCATCTTTATTGTTAAACCATATTATTAAAAAAATTTAATATGTTTATATAAATATAACCATAAGTTACAAATATGCAAAGATTAATTTGTACAATAAATTTTAAAAATAAATAAATCTTTTTTCAAAGATCATATAGTATATTTTTATGGTTACGACAAGTAGTAAAGAAAAAAGGAACAGGAAAAAAAAAGTAAAAATTGATTGTTTTGTAAGTTTTCATATTTTAAGAGTTATTTTTATAAATTTTTTTATTTGTTAGGGTTTTTTTATTAAATTTCTTATTTTTTTTAAAAAAAACTAACAGAAATATTAAGTTTGACGAAAATTAGCAAAAACTTCAAACATACCGAACAAAATTGGCTAACTGGAAATTTATAAGATATGATTGATGATGAGGGCAAACTTTTGGATAGGATGCCAATTTTTCCGCTAAATTTAATTTGTCTAATTAAATATGTTTCCCACTTAAAAATTACTTTTCAATTTTTTTTAAAAAAAAACTGTTTGTTAGGGTATTAATGACACAGGATCTTCTGTATCACTTTCTTGTGAGACTCATGTGACACAATCCAATTACTCCTTATAAATTATATAATTTGTGCTAATACATATACCATTCACAATCATTTTAGAATTTATATATTTTAGGACTAACGGTTCACTTTTTTTGGATTAGGGCTTATTTATTTTAATTTTATAGCTAAAAAATTCAATAAAAATAGTCAAATTTCATTAAAAAAAATAAATGACACCACCCTTATACGTATGAGCACAAAATATCTAATTTATAAGGAGTAATTGGATTGTGTCACTGTCAGAAAAAAATGACACAGAGGATCATGTGCCGGTATTAATTGGATACACATTTATAACTCGCAATTACTAAAAGCGAATCAATTAAAATTACAAATCCCATATATCACATAAGAATCCTTATCCCGGATTGAATTACGTTCAATTGTGTTTTGATATATATATTTTCCATTTTTTATGTTTTAAAATTCAAACTAAAATTTAAAAGGGATTAGGTGTCCAGAGGCGGAGACAAAGTGGGCCACATGCCCGTACTGAGCCCACCGTAGAGTAATTTTTAAAATTATTTATAATGCTTAATGTTATAAATTAGATTAGGGGTTATGCTATTTGTTACCCCTTAACTCTTTAAGTAGCGTCTCCTTTGGACAATTATATCCTTATTATAATTTGAAACCCACAAATCATTTTGTTCCATTTCTCTAAATTCTCTCAAACTCGAAACAAAAAATAAAAATAATTCTTCAATCGGAAGCTACAACAATGAAGGATTAAAGGGGTGGATATGAATATTCATGATTTTTTTATTTAAAGTTTATTTAAAAAAAAAAAAGAAAAACAAAAAAGAAGGGGCTCTAACCAGTCAGGCGCCTGGCAATCGCGACCGTCTGGCGGTAACATCGTCCATTTCAAACGGCAGAAGCGTCCAAGTTGGATGCTGCTACCGCCATTTAGGCGTGACCTCCAGGAGTCCAACTGGCCTATACGACGTCTGCATTAGACGCTTGACCGGTAAGATCACCGGTGGGGCGCCCAGCGATTGCGTCCGACCGGTGGTGGTGGCGTCCAAACTAGACACTTTCTCGTCCGCGTAGGCGTTTGGGATAGACGCCATTACTGCCAGTCATGCGCGATCGTCGGATGCCCCGACCAGCATAACCTGTTTTTCTTTTTCTTTTTTTAGAAATTAAAACTTGATTTTTGAGATGTAGCAGCCGCCGCTTGAATGTCCATGTAGAGGAAATCATAAAAAAATTATAAAAAAAAAAAACCATTCTCCCCCACACACAATCGAAAAGATGATGATCATTAACAAAAAATAAAAAAATAAAAAAAAACCGACCCACAAATTGTTTTTGGGCGGCAACCCTTCAATCTTTTTTGCTTTTTTCCCCATAAAATTTCAACAAAAAAAAAATTAAAAAAAAAATTGAAAGAGTTACTTGATTTACTTTACCACAACTAAGATCCTTTTGATTTTTCATTGTTGCAACCATCAGATTGAAGAAATTATTTTATTTCTTTTTATTTTGGAGTTTGGGAGGATTTGGAGAGGAGAAATAAAAGGACTTGTGTTTTAATTTTATGATACGCGTAAATTCGTCCAAAGGGGACGATACCTAGGATTTAGGGACAACAAATAACAGCACACATTAGGATAATATGATTTGATTAATTAGTAAAACTAGGTAGCTTGAACGCGCTTCGCGCGTATTGGTGGATGAGTCATTCATACTCAAAAGAAATAAATACCTACTTAAAACTATTAGCTATTGGTAAGCAGGGTCGTTCCACAGAGACAGCAATTAACCGCTTACAATATGATTAATGTGCAAGTAAAGGAAAATAAGTTGAACAGATTTATCACTCGGGAGAGTGAGAATAGTCACTTGACAGAGTGAAAGAATAGAGGGACCAATCACCTTCCTATCTATATGATTCGGTCTTGATCCATTTGAGTTCTTGTTGCATATAATTTATTATTTGATCAGGCACTTGTATTATTTACAATTCCTCTCATACAGAATAAAGAATCCCACATTAACCAAATTACCTACCTCTCAGTGATAATTATTCATTAATCCAAGCCATTGAGTTCTTAAACCTTATTGACCACCTACGCCAAGCACCTAACTCTCTTGATGATTGAAACCAAAGGGTAGATTTGCTCCTTTGTCATAGGCTAGTGTAAGCCATTCCAAAGTTATGTTCCCCCTCTCAAGCCTCCAAAACTATGCATGTACATTTAATTAAATGACCATTTTACTTAAAAGGTTAATTTAAACACTTAACTAGGAACAATGCCTCATATAAGAAACTGAATCAAAACCTTCACATATAGATAGTAGGGATTAGACCCTTAACTGAATTTAGCTCAATAAACATGAGAGTAACAAAGTACAAAAGATCAATAATGATTAAGCTCAAAAGAGGATTAAAGGGAAAAGTGGTAGCAGGGCAGATTTTGTCTGCTCACTTTGGCAAGTGGCCTTCGCCGCTTGACAACGTGACAGTCTGCACTCTTTGCTCCTGCTACTACCTTGTTTCTACCCAACTAACTTAACTATCTAAACTGTCTTTGGACTGATTCTCACTACCCAATCTGTTCTCTCTTTTTCTAACTGCTGGCTGACTATTTATAGAGATTTTGAGAAACTTGGATTGGTGGAGTTCTGGCCTTCTTTTATGCAGCAGACAGGAGAGGCGGCAAATGGCAGTGGCTAAGGTTTGTTTATTCAGCAACTTGCCCAATTGGCAAGTTGTTGTCTTCTTTTTGGCTGCTCCTTCCCTTCAGTCGTCATTAGCCACCTTTCTCTCATCATTGCTTCCTCTTTTTAGCCCGCTTCTCCGGTGCATCCTCACCAAATTCCAACCACAAACCTCCATTTCTTCATTCTTTAATCTGCAGCAGCACAACTAGCAGTAGTAACAAGCAGCAGCTTCAGCAGCATGCTTCCTTCCATCATTACGTATCTTCCTTTTCTGCCCCCAATTCAGCCTCAATCTTCTACTCTTTTCTTTCTTGTTTCCCGGGATCATTTGCAGCACCATTTCTCACCTTCCTGTAGCAGCCAATCTTTCACTTCAGTTAGCAACAGCAGCAGATGGTAAGTAGCAGAGTTGCAGCTGTTGTTTTCGTCATTTTCTCCCTTTTTCTCTTCTTCCACTTGCAGCAACAACAACTTGCAGTGATGGTGAAGCAATTCCTTCCTTCGGCAGCAAGATTTCAGCTCTTGCCTCCTTCTGACTGACAGCAACAAAAGCAACTGCAGCAGCAACTTGGCAGCAGAATAGCTGCCATTTCTTCTTTCTCAATTGAGTTTGCAGCTGCAAAGTTCATCCACTTGAGATCATCTGCCATCAATCTTCCTTCTATAGCAAGGGTTTCTCCACTTTCTCAGCTCCATTTGATCCGTCCAGCCCTTGATTTCCAGCAGCTCCAATTCTGGTCCTTTTTGAAACTCTTTTGCACATTTTGACCCCAATTTATGCTGATATTCAACATTGGCCCTGTGATCACCCTGAAATGCAAAATCAACCCAAAAGTAAACTAATTCTATCGAATGGATACCTAATTCTAAGTGAAAATGAGTAGAAAATGTTTGTTAAAAGTGTATACATTTTAGTGTTATCACGTACGTTGTTACATTTACCCCATTGTTTATGCGGTCATATTGTCTGCATTATTTTTTCTTGAGCAGATTAATACATTTCGTATATTATCTTGTGTTAGTGTGTACATATATTAACGTATTGTTTTGATACAGTTTGGATACCTATTTCTTACATGAAAACTAAAACTCTTATCTAACATTGACGTAATTCATATTTTTAGGGGCATATATACCTACAGCATCCAATATAGAACTCTTATATGGCAATAATCTGAATTTGGATTTGTCTTAGATAACTATATTTGGCATGTTTACCTGTTGAACTATGCTATGATGTTATTCCTTACCACGAAAAGGCTACCATCTACCAAGGGCCAGCCACCAATTAATAGTTTTCGTCCAACAGCAAAGAAATTAAAGCACCAATAATAACCCATTGAACTTTAATTTTTCGATGAAATGAAAATAGAGAGAATTCACCTATTTGAGATTGATGCTTTCGCAATGATAAAGCTTTAGTTAGTGATGAAAGTTTGGTTGTTGCAGTGTGTGGTGCTTTCGCAATTGGTGAGGTTGTAGTTCCTCCTAACAGCTTTGAGCTAAGTGAAGGAGTCGATTGGACGAACTTGAAGAAGCAAACAGAAGAAATCAGTGGAATTGATTACACATACAAAAAAAAAAAAAAAAACCATAGATCTCAAAGGCTAGAGAAGTTGGGATTCTTTTATTGTACTTCTTTGCTATAAATTCGGTGGAAGGTCAATTGATTTATCTTGGGCAGCAAGATCATTAGGATAAAGGCTTGAGGAGGAGGAAGACAGAAGGCCTTTAAAATTGATAAGAAATTAAAATTGGTGTTTGTTTCGTTTTTTAGTGTGTGTTTTTAGGTGTTTTTTTGTAGTAGAAATGTAAAAAGGTGTATTGGAAATGTAAAAAGATATGCTGGGATAGGACATGTATTATTAAAATAATCTGAGAAAACCATCCAAAAAACCAAAAAAATAGAGAAGTATAAATTGAAGAATCTATTATTAACCAATGATTGAATGGTCGTGGAAAAGTGGAATGAGTAGAAGAATGCAGGAAGTGGGATTCTTTCATAAAAAAAAAAAAACAAAATGAAAGAAAGAAGAAAAAAAGCAAAAAGTGGCATTCACACGTGAGAAGGAACAATTAGCTTCTTTTTTTTTTTTTTTGCATATTTGCAGGGTGTCTTTTTTTCTTTTGGATATTTGCACGGTGTCCACCGTCGGCAACAGTGACTAATCTCTCTCGCTGAATTGTAGGCACCTCGATGGGTGAAATAACTGGCCAAAGTATTTAAGGTTGCTCCATACTCATGGCGAGGTTCGAATCCTCGACCTATGGTTAAGGATGGAGGAGTCCCTTCCACTTCACCACAACCACTTTGATTAACAATTAGGCTTTAATACATAGAATTGACACACTTGACTACCAAACTCTAATACATATTCAGCAATTATAATATAGGTCAATAAGAATTAGGCTCAAAGTTAAAATCCTCTTCACAAAGACTTCAAATTTGACCCATACTGAAAATAGAATCTGGCCCAAAATCAGGAAAATAGAGCCCCAAAAAAATCTGGCCCAAAATTTTAAATGAAATATTAACAAGCATATATTGCTACCTACTATTATTTACATTAATTTGATGTTAAAAATTTTACATTTATTTCTTAAAAAGCCGTCATAATAGTTTACGAATTGATTAGTTGAAATATAAACTACTCTCTAAAATTAATTTATTTATTTCACGGTACATAAGTTCAAGTTATATTTGAAATGTTAACAACAAATAAAAAAATTTTAGTCCAAAATAAATCATGCTTCATCTCTTTGATTAATATGATTTATTTCTATGGACTTTACTTTTCTTGTTTTTAAATTACCTTAGTTTTTTGTTCATATTTGTGTTAATAATTGGTAGTGCTAATTGCGCCCGCTGAATTTGCTGATTAGGACAGATGGAATGTTTTTATTTCGTATAATAATTTCAAGTAATAAAAAATAAATGGAAGTAAAAAATTTATTACTAATTTTTTTAACATTTAAAGTATAGTTTAATGAAACATCAATAATAAATAACTTGTGTCAATTAAATATTCTAGAAGTATTCTTTTAATGGCGCATGACAGTTCATCTCTTTTCCTACCTATACATTGATTTTTGGCTTGTCTCATGATGATTTTCTTTTCACATTGATTAAAGATTAATAAATGTAATGATTAACTTTTACTGCTCCCCGTCCTATGTTTATTGCCCAGTTTAGATTTTTATTTCTGGTTCAATTATACTAAAATTGAAATCTCAAACTGGACAAATTTTGGGATAGATGGAATATAACAAAAAAATGTATTGAAAGAGCTAATAAAAATTAGCAAAGACTGAATTCAGAAATACGAAAATGATAGGAAGACAAGAAGAGTTTGTGAAAATGATCTCGTTAATTCTTCTAAAACTCTTATAACTTGGATGGTTTGGACCTTTTATTTTCGTTTAACACCTTAAGTTCGAAAGCATCTCACGTGTTCTCGTAAGTTGAAATTTTTGTTTCTTTTTTTTTTTTTTCCATTTTTCTGCCTACAAAACTGTCTAAATTATGTAAACTTTTTTCAACTAAATATTGTCACGTGTACATACATTCATTTAATTATATTGTCACCTAGAATATGTCCAATCTCCAAAATTAAACACAATTTTGCACAAAGCTCCAAAGTGTTTCTTTTTAAGTTAAAAAAAAAAAAAAAGAAAAGAAACGTTCTAATCAGCTTAGAATTACAATAGTTTAGATACTTCTAATTAATAAACAGATACCATTTAAAAAGAAAAAAGTTTAGAATTGCATGAGGTACATTTGGTATGATTCTATCAAGTGAACTCAAAACACCCACGTCTTCTTTTTTCCCACAAAAAAACAGACAATCTTATTTCAACACACTTTCTTAAAATAAAATATAAAATCAACAAAGAAACAAAAACAACCGTTCATGCTACCTAATTCCTCCTCCAGGGAACCAGCTTTTATTAATTTCTATCGTCATTCATGCAATTCTCACCCCCATTTTCAACGTATTTATATACCTCTCTACTTCCATGATAATGTCTGAATACACATTTCACAATTAAACAACTCAGAATAAGGGGGAAAAAAAATGGAGGTGGAAAGAGTTCAGGCAATAGCTTCATTATCAAAATCCCAAGACACAATCCCAGCTGAATACATCAGATCGGAGAATGAGCAGCCGGCAATCACAACCCTTCACGGGGTGGTTCTCGAAGTTCCGGTGATCGACCTCGGCGCCGGTTCCGGCGATGTGGTGGAGCAGATAACTGAGGCAGCTAAAACATGGGGAATCTTCCAAATCGTGAACCATGGAATCCCAGATGAGGTGATAGCCAAATTGCAGCAAGTTGGGAAGGAATTCTTCGAGGTGGTTCCGCAGGAGGAGAAAGAGCTGATCGCGAAGCTTCCCGGGTCGGATAGTATTGAAGGGTACGGGACCCGGTTGCAGAAGGAGGTTGACGGCAAGAAAGGTTGGGTTGATCATTTGTTTCATCGGGTTTGGCCTCCTCCTGCTATTAACTACCGGTTTTGGCCTAAAAATCCCCCTTCTTACAGGTTTATATATACCCTTCTTCTTTAATTTTATCCTCACCATGCATTTTCCATCTTGTTAGCTTTAGCTAAAAAAATTATTCCCTCCGTCCCAAAATTGCACGCTAATTATTGTACAGTTTAAATTTTCATTTTTAGTACAAATTGAATTAAAAGTAAAAATTCAAATTGACGATTAATAATTTTGGAACAGAGTCAGTATTCATTTGTTGACTCTCTACGTGAGAAATTAATGTTGACAAAATCCCTATTTAAGATTTTTTAAAAAAAAAAAAATAAGTAATTGCTTTTATTTCCATTTAGTTCTAGTTTTCACCCATAAGTACGGATATCCCCTTGTTGGTAGTATGTGATTTGTCACACGAGACAGATTTAATATGCAAAGGTAATTTAGAAGGCAAAGAGTGCAATTATACACCTTTTTTTTTTATAATTTAATCCTTCAGGAGAGAACATAATCTTGTTGTTCCATGTTGGATCCGCAGTTCATAATTGATCTATGTTCAATATTTTACGAATGCAATTTTCACCACTTTAATTATGATTCGAGAATACATTGATTGATTCATACACAAAAATTGCTTCATCGTAATCCCAATCGCGAATTACCTCGGATTTCCATAATATTTTGTGACAACGCAATTTTTTTGGTTTTGCAAAGCCATTAATTTTTATTATACAATTATTATCATAGTTATAAAATAATAAAGGTCAGATTGTATATAGATATTTTAAGTGACACATCATTATTTACATACTACTAGCTAGTTGTTAGTTGGTGACCTCAGGTTTGAATTGGGTTAATCCGTGAAGCCATGGACCATTATCCTTTGAATTTATTGAGGCTGTAAAGTAGTTGAACGTTGTGTGATAAATTCATGATTCTTACGCTAGCCTTGTTTGTCAAATTAAGGAGCATTTTCTGGTAGTAGTAATGAGTTAGAACTTAAGAGATAAAGCTGAGAATGCCAAGTTAAAAAAAAAACCACAAAATCAGCAACAAGAAGTGAGTTAATGTGTGTGTTTCGGTTTGTGACAGGGAAGCAAATGAAGTGTATGCTAACAAGCTTCATGGGGTGGCTGACAAAATGTTTGAATGTCTATCAGAGGGGCTGGGGTTGGAACCAAATGCAGTGAAGGATGCTTTGGGTGGTGAAGACCTGATTTACCTGATGAAGATCAATTACTATCCCCCATGCCCTCGCCCGGACTTAGCTCTCGGCGTGGTGGCTCATACCGACATGTCCTCCATCACCATCCTCGTCCCAAATGAGGTGCAGGGCCTCCAAGTCTTCAAAGATGATTACTGGTACGACGTCAAGTACATTCCCAACGCCCTCATCGTCCACATTGGTGACCAAATTGAGGTAATCAAGTGATGTTCCATCCAGAAAACCCCGCAATCTCCCTTTTCTTTCTATCTTATAATGTTTCATACCTGAGAAATGTTGTTCGATTTTTCGTAGATTTTGAGCAATGGGATATACAAGAGCGTGTATCACAGGACAACTGTGAACAAGGAAAAGACCAGGATGTCATGGCCAGTGTTCTTGGAGCCAACACCCGATCAAGAGATTGGACCCATTCTTGAGCTGATCAATGAAGCAAATCCACCCAAATTTAAGACCAAGAAGTACAAAGACTATGTGTATTGTAAGCTAAATAAGCTCCCTCAATGAGCTGCTACCCAATTTGACTAGAAATAATGTGGCTTTAGTTTCCAGAGGGTAGATAGTGTCTGTCCCCAAAGTACAGCAAACATGTCTATGCTGCAAAACCTTGAACTAAATTTCCATCAATTTATCCTTTCCATATTTCCCCTGTATGTATGGCATTCTCAAATCCCAATCACGATTTTAATCAGCCGATTGATTCTGAAATGGCATCCCAATCACGATTAGTTTTCCTGAACCGAATCGCCTCGAAGAAAGATGTCGTTTTACTCATTGTGATTTATATATTTTACGTGAAGCAAAGCTAGCTGAAACTGAGATGCCTCCTGAACTTGTTAGACAATATACAGAGGACTCTGAAGAATCTGATGAGGAGTTACAACTAGGTGTTCACTATGACACAGAATTGTCAAAGAGGAATGAAGTTATCCAGACTTTTGGAACACAAAGTCAAGTAAAACCACCTCAAGAAAGGCCAAAATTGTACAAATGCTCAACTATACTTCTATGATACTGATTACTGAACATGAAATTGTAAATAGAATGGCTATCTCAAGCAAATTTAAGGAGTCCATCATAGAACATCTGCAGCAGATGCTTGAAATGAATCCACCACACACAAAATGCTTCCAAAGTCTTAGAATGAAGACTTGGATGAATACCAAATTTATTTTTCCGACTGTCTGATCCTGGATCAGATTAGCATACCTTCAATTACCCTTTTGCATCACAAGTTGCTGCAATGTAGAAGGAAAGCGATGGTTTTACAGGGAATGTATCCCAAGAGATTCATGTTTACATACAGAAGGGAAGAAACAAACAATCACGCACTACTTTGGCTGTTATGATCCACTTCAATACCCTCTCATTTTTGCAACAGGAGAAACTGGCTGGCATGAAGGCACTCACAGGATAAATGCAATGAACAATTATGGAAAATCAAATACTTCCTCCGTCCTATAATTATTGTCCTGTTTGAGTTTTCATTTTTAGTTCAAATTGTACTAAAAGTGAAAACCCAAACTGGACAATAATTATGGGATGGAGGGAGTACATATATTGGAGAACAGATGGTCAACCTAGACCAATCATAGACAGCTGATGACATCATAAACACTGAGAATGCTGGTATGGCATCACAAAAGTTTTCTTACAATAACAAAAGTTCATATTAATTTTAATTCTTGAACATCTCATCCTAATCGATGCAACCTTTCTTATCATTTCTAGCTATGACAAAAAGAAGAAAATGAAAAGGAGAAGTAAAACAGTTCCATGCCGAGAATACTATGCATACAAATTTCAGACAAGAGAATGACAAATCCTACCTTCTGCATGTTGGAAGATTGTTGCAACAATTTTGCAGTTCATACATATGTGAAAATAGAAACTTCAAGCTTGGATTTCTACAACAATAAGCAGAAGCACATAAGTCTGAAATATATCAAGGTCTTCTTGATGGCATAGCAAATGGTTTGACTACAGGATGTCAAGTACTGAAAAAAATCGTTTTACCACCATCTTTTATTGGAGGACCAAGAGACATAAGAAAAAGAATCGGGACAGAAAGATAACAAGGACGAGCTATTGGTCGCCTAACTTCTGCACACCCTGCTGAAGGTGAGAGATACTTCTTACGCTTGTTATTCATACATGTACTAGGACCAACATCATTTGATGACTTCAAAACTTTCAATGGAAGAGCGTTACCAACATTTAGAGAAGCTGCAGAAAAAATGGACTTACTACAATCAGATGATGGAGTAGAAGAATCTTTGCAGGAAGCATGCACATATCAAATGCCAGCAGCTTTACGACAATTATTTGTGACAATTTTGGTGTATTGTACAGTAAAAGATCCGAAAAAGTTATGGGACACCTGCGAGTCTTATCTTTCAGAGGATATAGCTCAAGACCAAACGCTGTCTAGAGATGAAGTATGCTTCAAAGTCCTACAGCAAATAAATAGACATCTCAAGTGCATGGAGAAAAATATAGACATGTATGGTCTTTGCTCCCTTCAATCTACAGTATTTGATCTTGAAGAGCAAAATATAGAAATTCTTGCTGAGAAAAGCGTAATAGTATCAGATGAAGACCTAGCAAGTATAAGTATGCTTCACAAAGATCAGAAAGTTGCATACCATAAAATAATGGAGCGTATAGATACAGGAAAACCAGGAGCATTTTTATTGATGGCCCTGGAGGCACAGGAAAAAATTTCCGATATCGAGCACTAATTGCAATAGTAAGAACAGTAAGATCAAGACAACGAATAGCTCTGGCTACAGCAACATCTTGTGTAGCAGCCTCAATAATTCCATGAGGTCGAACAGGTCATTTAAGATTTAAAATCCCCCTGAAGCATTATGAAAACAACAGCTGCAATGCAAGTAAACAAAGTGCTAAAAGTTCGCTTATCAAAGAAGCTAATTAATTATTCGGGATGAAGCAACAATGGCTAAGAAACACTCAGTCAGAAAAATTTGACAGAATGCTTAAGAGACATAATGGGTATGGAGACAGTATTTGGAGGAAAATTAGTTGTTTTTGGGGGTGATTTCCGACGAACATTACCTGTCAATCGAAAAGGACAAAAAGAAGAATGTATTTCAGCAAGTTTAGTCATGTCAGACTGATGGCCTATGTTAGAGCAAATCAAATTATCAATCAACATGCACGCACAACCAGATTCTGATTTTAGTGAATTCTTACTACGAGTTGGTAATGGAGAAGAACCTACTTTTGAAGACAACAGAATACATTTACCATCCTCCATCGTTTTACCTTTTACTGACAAGAATACTTCCCTTCATTTATTTATTCAATCTGTTTTTCCAGATCACAATACCATTTGGTAAAAGACAGCCAAAGATACAGATCAAAGCTTCACTCCTTTAACATCACAGCCAAGAGGACTTCCAGAGAGAATTTTCTTCCAGCTGAAAACACTACTGAATTTCATGAGAAAACAGCCCCTTTCTCAAGGCTAGAACCATAACCAGAAGATCCTCGATAGCAAATAATTCCTCTAGTACTTAATATACACGCAGTGCATGCAATGTGGTTCTCGTAAAATCAATGGTTCTATGACAAAAGCCTCCCTTGGGAACCACAGTGCATCATTGAGAGGTTATTTGAGACAAACAGTTCTTGGGATCTTCATACATGACCAGTTTAACAGTTAAGTAATGACAATGGCCACATGAGTCATTTCAAGGATAACTCAAGATAAGAAACATAAAGAATGAAAATTAAGTGATTGCTCTTCACTGAATAAAGTGCAGTAGCTATGTAGGTACAGAGTTTTAAAAATCTATTTTCTTTTCTTCTAATACGTGAATCATACTAACCAACAACTTGCTGGTTCTCAAGAACCTAAACAGCTGCTACCTTGGACCTGATATTTGCTCCGATGACATAAAGGAATAGAAGCTAGAAACAACCCTTCTACTTGTGCGAGGATTATTTTCTTCGTGGTGCATTTGATCATTATGATTGCTACCTTCGTGAGTCATGGAAGCCTCAGCAAACCGAAGTCCATAAAATCTTAAGAAATTTAGAGACTCCATCTTTGGCTCACACAAAGGTATTTCACCTTCTAACATGCCAACCACACTAACCATGTTCGGTCTTAATGCTGGTTCCTCATGGACACAACACAGAGCCACACGGACAAACTTCTCCACCTCTTCACTTGTAACCCGGCCCTGAAGCCTTGGATCAGCCAGTTCCAAGTACCTACCTTGTTCATGCATCTCAAGTGCAAACAGAGGGAAATAATGAGGACCAGGTGTGGATGAAGATGATGAGCCACCACAACCATTGCTACTATCAAGGCTATGACTTTGGGACCGTACAGGGCAGTTTTTTCTCCCACTCACAATTTCTAATAAAACCATCCCAAAGCTATAGACATCAGTTTTATCTGAAATCGTAGAATTTGTAAGCCACTCAGGGGCAAGATACCCACGCGTTCCCCTCATCGTCGTAAAAAGGGTGGACTGTTCAGGGCTAAGAAGCTTTGAGAGTCCAAAATCAGAAAGTTTAGCATGGAAGTTATTGTGGAGAAGGATATTTTCTGGTTTCACATCACAGTGAATAATCTTATGTTCACAACCACTATGCAAGTATGCAAGACCTCGTGCTGCTCCAAGGGCTATTTCCACCCGTTCTTGCCACTCTAAAACCGGTGCACTACCAAAAAGGGATCGATCAAGTGAACCACGATTCATGTATTCGTAAACTAAGAGCCGATGCCTACCCTGGGCACAATATCCTTTCAGCTTGACCAAATTCACATGGTGAATATTACCAATAATGGCAATTTCTGTACAGAAATCTTTCTTCCCTTGAATGCCTAAGTGGTTAATTTTTTTCACTGCAACAAGGACATTATTAGGAAGCATACCCTTGTATACAGCACCAAAACCTCCAGCTCCAATCTGAGTCTTGAAATTCTCAGTTGCTGCCTCAAGCTCTTGATACTCAAACCTGATAGGTAATCCAGGAATTGCAAAAGCTTCCAGGTCATCGGAGGAAGCAGAGTTCGACCGGCTATATTTTAAATTTTTAATAGCGGGCATTCTAGACCTCCTCCACAAAAGAAATCCCAATAAAACCAGCAGGGACAGTCCCGTGAAAGGCAATAGCACTAAAGCAACTAACGGAAATCCTAGAGTTCGACTATCTGAATTACCATTATTTGGCTGAGGTTTATAGATGGTCTTAATATATCCAAGGCGACCATTATCTCCTCTTGTACTCAACAACAAAGATCCCACATCATTCTCAAGAACATAACAGGAGCCAGATGAAATCTGATAGTAAACTCCAAAGCAAGTACAATTTGCTGAGCAGAGTTGTAGACACACAGATAAATTTACTCCATACTTGGAAGGCGGAGTAAAATCATTGGAAAAGTAATCCACAGAGTCTCCAAGTCTTGCGTAGGACACTGTCAAAGAAGAGTATATGTCACTTCCGTTATTGGTTGCATTACAGGGTGGGGGCAGAAAATACGAGCGATCAGTAAGCAAACAATCAGTGATATTTTGGGAGTTGACAATAAAGTTAGATGGACAAGAGCATTGAGGAGGATATGACTCGAAACCACTACTACATACTCCCAGTTTTCCGCATACATTTGGGAGTCGACATGAATCGACAGGCAACAGAAATTCCACCTTTGTATTAGGACCTGAGAAACTTTTGATGATGAAACGCCCCGAGTAGTCCAACTGGGCTGTTCGAAAGGCAGCTGGAGCAAACTTCAACTGAATCACCACAGCAGATCCTCTGCGACTAAATAGGTAAAGGCCTGTCCCATTCATCGTCATATAGTCTGCAGCATAGTTTGAGTTAGTGTAAACAATTGAAGACATGGACAACTTCCAATAAGTCTGATTCTTCCACTGCAAGATGGCATCAGAGGCTGATAAAGAAAAGCTGTAATCACCAGTTGAGAAGTCATCACTAGATAGGGCACTGAACAAGGACATCTCAGCAGGCAAGACTTGTCCCATCACAATAGTATCTGTTGGGTTTTTGTAGCTCTCCCATAAAACTACGTTGGATCGACTAAGCAAGACAAGGTTCCCCGCTTCATTCAGTTGTAAGGCAGACACGGATGACCGCAGAGGTGGAGTTGACCATTTAAAACTGCCATCCTGGTCAGTTATAATAATCCCACTTGAGGTCAAACTCACCATTCCCAATGTGGAGAAGGGTGAATTGCGATTAGCGGACCAGATGACAGTGTTGGAATCTGAATGGATAACACACAAGTAAAATCTGGTATGCTGATCTCCAGGATCGAACAAGGCAGCTTTGAATGTGGCATTAGGGGAATACAAGAAAGTACCCGAACTCTCAACGAATTTGTAAAATGAAGCAGTGAAATTGGGGTAAACAAATTCTGAGGCTGGAACACCAGCTAGAACCGCCAAAGGGAGAGACACAACAGCAAAGAAGAACAAGAACAAAGACCCCATAACGCAAAATGCATCAGGTTGAAGAATGAAAAAAAAAAAAAGCAATAAGATGGCTATGGTTGAATTGGATGTGGTCATAAAGTCTGGATCAACCTACTCTGTCTATCTCCATTATAGTTGACTTCCTTGCAATTGGCAGGCGGCTCTGCCCATTTTCGGTCTCCGCGTGGAACCAAAAAATTGAATTCGACAACGATGTATGAGCTATAAACGAACAGGCAGTTCCATTTAATAATGCCAACGTCAAAAAACACAAAAAAAAAAAAAAAAAAAAACACTAATTTTCACCCCCAAATAATGCAAAAAATAATGTGTGGGATGAATTCGATATAACCAAAGAAGATTTCTTGAATTGTTTTCTAAAACATTCAATTATAGGAAATATTATAGTCACCAATCATTATCCATCAGTTTGACTTACATATCCTACAGCCGACAGCTACATTATACTAATAAATTGGTAGAAAAGTCATTCCCAGATTCATGCCACAACCATTTTCGCCCGGAAACAAACCATTTTAGAGGTCAACCAGAAAACAAAAACCCACAACAGAAATATAAATAAGATTGCTAGAAACCAAAAACAACCCAAAAAAAAAAAAAAAAAAACTTGTTTAATTGACCAGTTCCATTGGAGAAATTTATCAAACAGTTAATGAGCGAATACCTGGTGTGAGGCTTATCTAAAGAGTATTTTCCTCAGCCTGAGAATCCCAAAGAAAACAGAGAAGGCTTCTTCTTAACAAGAAATAATATTGCCATTGTAGAAAACTAGAAATTACGTACTCCATATTATTTTATGAACTGAAGGAAATGATTGGATCGAAAAAACGGCTGATTTTATTAAGAGTTGCAGAGAAGATTTGAGGCTTGAGAGGTAGAAGACAGATTCAAATTTGAATGGGCTACAATAAATAGTACAAGTTGTTTTGGGTGAGCTGAAAAGGTTGGGCCTCTTTTTGTAATATTGAAGACGTTATTGGGCAGCCCGATTTGATAAGACACTTGAGGATATATGGTTTCACATTTGTAGTTTGTAATAATAATGAGTAATTTGACTGGCTTTTTCTTTTCGTCTATAATAACTACCTATAAATTAGGACTAGATAAATGAAGTTTTAAACAAGTGCAAATGTAAGCATTGAACAAAAAATGTGTAATTTAAAACTATTGTATATTATAATAAATTTATTATATTTATAAGTCTAAATATGATAGATCTAATTGATCTCATGTATATGACTTAATATTTAATTTGTAACGCTACAAAAAACAATACATCACATAAATAAATATGTAAATATGTGATATAAGAAAAAAAAAACACACACTGATAAAATTAAACTCATTAAATTTGAGATAATTAACAAATTAGAAAAAGTTAGCATATTACGAATTAAGGAATATGCACTGATAGCGCATTTGTGGGCAAGGAGTAGTCATCATGGGAATTATGTATTAGATGTCTATTTTGATTTATTTTTTTTTACTTTGTCTTTTTATTTATAATGTCATTACATATTTGTAAAAAAAATGTCATTACAAATTTGTATGGTTTCATTTATATAAGAAAATGTTATTTTGATTATTAGTTCGATGAAATATGGTTTCCTTAATTTAATTTATTATATTATTTTTTTGTGTAATGTTGATATAAATATTTTAGCTATGTTCGAAGTAAGAACAAAAATGGATTATTATTTTTTTTGTAATTTAATAAACTTAATAAAAAAAAAGAAGGATAAAGGAGAATTGTTGCTTTGGGTGTAGAATTTGTAGTGATAGTTGGACTTTAAAATACTGTAGCAGTTACCAAAACACCAAATTGGTGATTTGGTGTGTACCAAATTGATGTTGACCTTGGGGATGCTTTTAGTAACTAGTATTATTCGCGTGCGTTGCACGGTTTTTAAAATATTTTAAATTTAATTGTCAAAACTTACTTTAAAATCTTAATCAACAATGATTTAGAGATGCATAATTTGTTACTTGTAATTTATGTTTTGGAAATGGGATAGGACCTACTATTAAGTCGATTTTGAAATTTATTAAGGTGATGAAGATTTAAGCAAATAATGTATTGGCCCAATAGCAAAATTATTTTTGTTTTCCAAAGAAAGGTGGTTGCGGTAAATTTATATGTAATCCTCTAATTTCAGACCTAAATTTCTCCGCAGAGTTTCTTTATGATGGTTTATCTGCTTCCTGTAATTTGCAGGTACTTATAGTAGACGTGAGTTTACCATCTCTGTGAAATAGAAATTCAAGATTTCTAAAAAGTTATAACTGAAACAAAATTAAATATTTAAATCGGGTTTATTCCAATTTTTCTAAACTACATAAAAATACTATGATCTTAATTTTTCAAATTTTTATGTGTTGAACTCCACAAATCAAATTTTATAATTTTACGTGCAATATTATCAGAATAATTTTTTCAGACAAAAAAATTGACAGACAGTAATTTTCTTACGTCTAGATTGCATATTTCTTTCTTGAGGTTCGAACGAGATTCTTAAAAACAAACATTACTAGGATAAAACTAAAAAAAAAAACATTTAAAAAAATTGAAGTAAATCTTCTGTACAATTCAAATATGTCTAAAGGAGATTAACTAAAAAAAGTAATCATAAATCTTAAAAATTTTATCAATAGCAAGACTATAATCCTAAATTTTTTCAATAATAAGGATACAATCCTAAACTCCCAATCGTATAAATTATATGTAAGGAAAGGGAAAATAAGAATGTATTTAGTTAAGGCTTTTTTCCTGGTGGTGGGTGGTTTTGTCGTTGAACCACTTCACTAAAAGAAATATTTATAAACCTACTTAAAACTATTAGCAAGTGGTAAGTAGAGTCGTTCCACAAAAATGGCAATCAACCGCTTAAAAATCTGATTAAAGTGCAGAAAGAAAATGGAGTTGAACATATTGTCACTTGGAAGAGTGAGAATAGTCACTTGACAGAGCGAAGAGGCAGATGGGTCAATCACCTTCCTACCTTTATGATCCAGTTTTGATTCAAATATTCTTGTAGTGTATGATTAGTTGTTCGATCAGGCACTTATATTCTTTATAATTCCTTCCAGACAGAATAAAGAGTCTTAGATTATTAAAATTACCTACCTTCCAGTCAGAATAATTCATTAATCTGAGCCATTGAATTCTTAAGCCCTCTTTGATCGCCTATGCCACTCACCAAACTTTCGTTGATGTTGTTTGAACCGCATGGTAGATTTCCTCCATTGTCATAGACTAGATTAAGCAGTTCTAAGGTTATGTTCCCCCTTCTAGATCTTCATAACCATACAATCACATTTAATTAAGTGACCGAGTTAATTAAAAAGTTAATTAAATCACTTATGTAGATACAACACCTCATCAAAGAAACTGAATCAAAACCTTCACATAAAGATAGTGAGGATTGAACCCTTAACTGAGTTAGCTACTCATGTTTATTGAGTTAAATATGAAAGCAACCGAGTACAAAAGATAAGACATGAATCTAGATCAAAAGGTTAGAGGAAAGCAAGGGAAGATGGTAGCAGGGACAGTTTCTGTCTGTTCACTATGGCGAGTGGCGTTAGCCACTTGACAAAGTGACAGTCTACCTCCTTGCTCCTGCTACTACCCTGTTTCTAACCTACTAACTAACTACCAAACTATTGTCTTTGTGAGTAAATCTAATTACCCAATCTGTTGTTTTTCTAACTGCTATTGGTTGACTATTTATAGAGATTTGGAGAGGCTTGGATCGGTGGAATTCTGGCCTTCTTTACAGTAGGGCAGAGGGGACAGCAAGTTGCAGCAGCCAAAGGTATTTGTTTATTCAGCAACTTGCCCATTGTTGCCTTCTCTGGTTAGCACCTTCCTTCATCAGCCGCAATCAGCCATCTTCTACTCATCATTGCTGCTTCTTCTTAGTCTATTTCTCCAGCGCCTTCTTACCATTTGCAGCCACAAATCTCCATTTCTTCATTCTTTATTCCCCACAGCTCAAATTGTAGCAGTCAGTAAGTAGCAGCATCAGCAGGATGCTTCCTTCCATTATTGTTTTTCCAGCCCCCAATTTAGCATGAATCTTCTGTCATTTTCTTCTTTATTTCCTGGGTCACTTGCTACACCATTGCTCACCCTTCTGCAGCAGCCAATCCATCAACTCAGCAGTATCAATTGGTAAGTAGTAGAGTTGCAACTGTTGTTTATCATATATTCTCCCTCTTTCTCTTCTTCCACTTGCAACAGCAACAACTTGCAGTGATGACAAAGCAATTTCTTTCCTTGGGTACCAAGATTTCAGCTTGTGGCTCCTCTTTGATTGACAGCAGCAACAGCTACTGCAGCAGCAATTTGGCAGCAGGGCAGCTACCCTTCTTCCTCTCAATTGAGTGTGCTACTGCAGATTCTTCTGAGTTATGATCATCTGTTGTCATTCTTCTTTCCTCAGCAAGGATTTCTCCACTTGCTCCAGTTCTGATTGACCTTCCAACAGCCCAATTTCCAGCAGCTTTCATTCCAGTTCATTCTGATGCCTTTTTGTGAAATTTGGCCCTTTTTATGCTAATTTTCCACGTTAACCCTCCGAGATACCTGAACTGCAAAATTACCCCAAAAGTAAACTAATTCTAACTAATTGACAGTAAATTATAAGTAGACACGAGTAAGAAATTCCTGCTAAAAGTGTATATATTTTTATTCTATCACCTGGCATTGTCCAAATTCCTCACAGTATTAACACACCCATCAAACATGTAAACTGATAAATACACAACTTCACAAGAGCAAACGCGAATGCTCATCCCAACTGACACACATAAACATTTTAGTACACATTTGCCTCACACCAAAATATGAATAATTTCACGTCTTTACTCCCAACAATCCCCTTATTTAGACCATCGACCAAAGCGCATTGCAAGAAATCAAAGAAACTATTAAGGAAAAAAATTGTACGTTTTTCATACACACTTTCACACCTTTTTTCAGCACACATTTTGAACTTTTATGTTAGAGGTTAATAAAATGTTACAGAAATTTATACAAATATTGGATTGATAAGAAAATAAATTAAAATTGAAGAAAAATAGTGTTTCATAGTTTACTTCAATAAAATTATTGAAATTATTACCACCGATTTTAATTAAAATCGAGTCGGCCTAACAAAAGTGGTGAATCAGCCCAAAGTTGCAAGAAGACCATTTCCGGCGTGGAATAAGGGAACCCATCTTCGAATCAAAGAAGAAGACGCGTCGAAAGCCCAACCCGACACGGAGAAGACCAAATTCAACTTGTAGACGAATTACAATTGTAGCAAGAAACAGGGAATTGGAAATAAGATACAATTGTAATTAGGAATCGGAGATCGCACCGACATAGACGATTACCAAACCCTATATAAAGAGTGAGAAAGGGCAGCGCAACACAACTCATCATCAACACAAACAGAATACAGGCAGCAAAGATCTTTTCTTTCTTTTTTTATCCTCTTGTTCTTTCAGTACCCTTTTTCACAAGTCTTTTTTATTCGATTTACTCTTTGTAATTCGTTTAAGTTCATCTTACAAGCAATTCAATCTTTATTCAAGTTATTACAAGTTTCAAATCCTTTTCTTTATGCCTAGCCGAATATTGAATCTCAAGAATTACACACTTTCGTCTGAGATTGTTTGCAAGCTTGCGTCAGTTTCTACTGATTATTTTCGCACAAACAAATTTAAAGAAATTTGAAAATATAACTGTGGCGAATAAAATGTAATAAAAAAAATGAATACACATACCAATATTTGATATTCTTTTTTTTTTCAATACAGATAGTAATATTCGAATGAATAGATATAATCCATCAAAGTTTCAAAATAAGTAACTTTGTTCCGTAAATATTGTTCTTACAATGTGAAAATATTTTTGGGTTATTCATTTGGCATTATTATTCATAGAACATGATACTCTCTCCTGTCCTTAAAATAAGATATTTTGATTTATCCAAGTTTTAACTAATATGTATTTTTAATTGATAAAAAAATCTTAAAAGTATTTCCTAACAATCAAGAAAATACGAAAAATATGAAAATATATATTTTAAAGTTTTTTTTCAATTAAAAATAAATACTAGATGAAACCTAGGATAAATCAAAATATTTTATATTAAGGACTGGAAGAGTAGTATTTTAAATATTGACTTATTAATAGTCGTGTATGTATTAAAATATTTAATTATTTTCCAGATGCATAATTTGCACATACTAAAATGAAAAAGAAAAGTTAAAAAAAATGAATACTTTTTTATCAACTAAGTGGACGAACTGAAAAAAGAAATTGGTTTAGTCAATGAATTGTGATGAAGAATATTTTAAACTTTTATATCACGTAAAAAAAAATTAATTTAAGGTCTCGATTTAATTATCACTCTGAACACACTGAACCACTCTTAAACTGCAAAAGCTCTGTTAAAAAGAATGCTCAAATATGTAAAATCTTCAACAACAACAATAATCATAATAATAATAGAAAATGTTTGATATTTCCAGAATGTTTGTAAGTCGTTTGCCCTCTATATACACCCCAAATTGTCGAATGTTACCAAACTCGAACATAACTTTTTTCAATGTACGAATTATGGGTTAATTACCAGCGGATGTATTTTACATTCGATTTTTACATTCAGACCAGAGTGTTTCAAATTTTCTTGTTAATGTGTTGTGGCGGAAGAATGCGAGAAGAAACAGACAAAGTCTTTGAATTGCTTCGATTATTTAGTAAAGTAAAATAATAAAAATAATAATACTAATAAAAATGAAAAAATAGAGTAATGGTTTGCAGTTTGCACTGCATTGTACTGGTCGATTACAATGTGACATATATGTGAAGAATTCATCACTAACCATCATCCATCACAGCCGCAACACCCACACTATCTTTTCAACTAATCCGAGAGTCTTGTTCCTACTTCACTTTTCTATCATTGTTCCAAGGTTCCTTTAATTAACTCATCATTCCATATACAAACATACACATAAAAACGAAAAATGTACCAAATATTTCAACAATTACTGTTTCAACTAATTTAAATTCAAACCGGATAAATCTCTCTCGTAACGTAATAATCTTCGATTAGTAATAGTTTAACTAATATTTTGCTTCAAAATGCTAATTCAAATTCAAACCGAGTAAATCTCTAAGGTAAGAATTCTCCGATTAATAGAAGTTTAACTAATATTTTTTGCTTTAAAACGCTTGTTATGTTTATAGTGAAAAAAAAAATTACAGGAATTGGACGGTCTTTTTGAGACGGAAAAAGGGAGTAAGATTTTTTTCCCTTTCTTTGTTTCTCAACGTGTGCACGTTTATACATGATGGATCCTGTATGTGACCAGTAAAGAAAACAGCAGAAGCATCCAAAAGGCAACCCGTCAAGTAGTAGTCACTGGGTAACTAAAAGTCAAACGTAAAATAGCAGTTGTGGGAAAACTCGATGGAAAAAAGGCAGTAAAAAGGGAACACATTGGAGGCCGTGCACTGCAGCTGCAGACAAACCCCAGCCCCCCCTCCAAGAGAGAGAGATGATAGATAGGGGGGTTAGGTAATTAAAAGGTGGTCATATCCCAATGCTATCTGCTTGGCTTCTTCTATTTTTCCTCTTATTTCGTGCTAATTTCAATATCACCCCTTTCATCTTTGGTCAAACATAAAACCTCCCTCAAGTTACTATAAATATTGAAAAACCTCCTTGACTAACCGAACTTGGAAGTCTACATAGGAATTGTGTAAGACGAGTAAACAAATCACATCTTTTTTATTGTACCATCTAATTCTTAAAATCATTCAACTGGGAGATTTTTTAAAGTCATTTGAGAATAATATAATACAAAAGTTTAAAGATTAAATTAATTTTAGTAATCAATCCATCACTACTTAAAGAATTTATTATTTTTGTCGTCGTATTAAAACAATCTTAAACAATCAAGTTCATACTTTAATTTTCTTCTGTATAGTTACATTTATTGACAAAATGATAAAAATATTCATCCATCATTTGAAAAAAGTAAAAGGAGATACATTGTATATGTTTTTTCTTCTTTTTCGTTTGGATATAAATCAATTAGAAACTACTATATGAGACTGAGAGTATGAAAAGAGAATAGGAGAATATGTTATATTCCTCTTTTAGTTCGAAATATATTTTATTGGCCAGTTTAATAGATTGATGATCAGAGACTGAATTTCTCGAGAATTCTAATACTTTTGTGGGTTTTGGAATTTTGGCTAAACCCTGAGGTGGTTTTTGGTAATTTTCGGCCCTCTTATTTTTGGTCTTTGTAATTATTCGTTTGTCTAACGGATCCATCTTTTCTCCCGTTTAACTAAAACTGATGACGACGATGATCTCTCGTTTTTACACTTAAAACATTTCTAAAGCTTGAAACTTTAAAAACACCCAACAAAAAACCCCATATGTTCCAGACTCAGAATTGAATGATGGTGAGGAAAAGATCCGCCGCAGCTTCCGATTTAGATCAGCTCCCCTCGCCGACCGGCGGCCACGCCCGTTTTCTACGTCGTACTCCAACTCCGACGACAACACCGGGTGTTGATTTTAGAGCCGCCGCCGCTGCTGGTGGCGTTGCTGGTGGTGGTGGCACAATTCTCGACGTCGTCCCCAACTACTCCACCACCACCACCACCTCCACCGCCGCCGCTTTAATGACGGCAGCTTATCCCACCACCAACAACAGTAATAATAATAATCATAATTACTGTAATTACGTGGATACTTCTTCTGTCTCCAAAACCCATCTTCCTCTTCAAATCGAAACAGCTGCAAATGCAAATGTGTGTGTTTTCTCCGGTCTGCCGTTGTTTCCTCCGTCTGATCAGAGAAACCGGAATAATTCCGACCTCGTTCCCATCAACTTTGATGACCCACTTCCTCCTCCTTCCGGTGGTGGTGCAACATTGTTAGCCATGGAGGATAACGGCGGAAACAGCCCTTCCTCCGCCGCAGCAACTGCATGGATTGACGGCATCATAAAGGATCTTCTTGTCCTCCATAACTCAGCTAATGTCTCCATCCCTCATCTCATCCACAACGTTAGGGAAATTATCCATCCTTGTAATCCTAATTTAGCTGCTCTTATTGATTATCGCCTTCGCTCTCTCAGTTGCTCTCTGCTTCCTGAATCCCCTGTTCTGCCTCCTATTCACCACCACCACCTTAATAATAATTACTATTCCCTCCCGGTCTCAAACTCCGGCGCCGGCCAAGTCCACAGCCAAGGTGGCGGTGGAGAGGCGGATAACTTGGTTTCTCCGGCGGGTCAGACCCACAACAACGTCATTCAAGAATCCCATAACCAGCAATACTTATCAGCTGCCACCGGAAACAATAACAACACGAGTACGCCTTCCTCCGGCGGATATTCACAGGTCCAAATCCCGGAAAAGGAAACCCAGTTGACGCCGGCGGATAATCAGCAGCAACCCGGGAATTCGGATTCTCCTCCGCCTTCCAATAAAAATCATGCATCATCGTCCCCTTCAACCGCCGGCACCGCCACCACCGCCACCACCACCACAAGTATTGAGAAGAAGAAGAAGAAGGAAGAAATCCAGCAACAAAAGAGAGATGAAGAAGGGTTACACTTGCTGACGTTGCTATTAAGGTGTGCAGAAGCTGTAGCTACAGAGAATCTGGAAGAAGCCAACAGCATGCTATTGGAAATCTCACAGCTTTCCACTCCATTTGGTACATCTGCACAGAGGGTAGCTGCTTACTTCTCAGAAGCCATGTCTGCTAGATTAGTGAGCTCCTGCTTGGGAATTTATGCATCTTTGCCTGGTGTTGTGCCTCACAGCCAGAAGATGGTCTCAGCTTTTCAGGTTTTCAATGGGATCAGCCCTTTTATTAAGTTCTCACATTTCACAGCCAATCAGGCCATTCAGGAAGCTTTTGACAGGGAAGAAAGGGTTCATATCATTGACCTTGATATAATGCAAGGATTACAGTGGCCTGGGCTGTTTCACATCTTGGCTTCACGCCCTGGAGGTCCTCCTTTCGTCCGGATGACGGGTTTGGGTACTTCCATGGAATCCCTGGAAGCCACTGGCAAGCGTTTATCGGATTTCGCTCAGAAATTAGGACTCCCTTTTGAGTTCAACCCGATTGCGGAGAGAGTTGGGAATTTGGACCCGGAGAAATTGAAAGTGAGCAAAAGGGAAGCAGTTGCAGTTCACTGGTTACAGCATTGTCTGTATGATGTCACTGGCTCCGACACCAATACACTCTGCCTCTTGCAAAGGTGAGGAGAATTGATTATGAGTATTGATATGTGAATTTATTTATCCATCTCGTTTTAATAGTCCGCATTTTGTTATGAAATGTGCTGAAAAAAGGTTGTAATTAGTGTTGCCAAATGATATAACATAACATAAATGTTTTGCTGCACAGATTGGCTCCCAAAGTAGTGACAGTGGTGGAGCAGGATCTGAGCCATGCAGGCTCATTCTTGGGAAGATTTGTCGAGGCAATACACTATTATTCGGCTTTGTTCGACTCGCTGGGAGCGTGTTACGGGGAGGAGAGCGAAGAAAGGCATGTAGTTGAGCAGCAACTGCTGTCGAGGGAGATACGAAACGTGGTGGCAGTAGGCGGTCCATCCAGGAACGGCGACGTAAAGTTCAGCAATTGGAGGGAGAAATTGTTGCAGTCCGGCTTCAAGGGTATCTCATTAGGGGGCAATGCCGCGGCGCAGGCATCGCTTTTGCTCGGAATGTTTCCTTCCGATGGTTACACCTTGGTTGATGACAATGGCACCCTTAAGCTTGGTTGGAAAGACCTCTGCTTGCTCACTGCATCTGCATGGAGGCCTTGCTCCCCACAAATTGCTCACCAAATCTCTTGATCATCAAATAATGATCAATTCCGGGTGGAGTAAGCAACGTTTTCAGATGCTCATTCAGAATAGATATCTTTGTAGACTTTTGCTTTCTTATTATTGTAGCTGTTTATTAACGTTTTGGCGGAAGTATTACTTAATTTTTTTTTTTAATATAAAAAGAGAGTGTTTTGATAAGTCAGTTGTCGGAAATTCTACTACTACTAATAGGGGAGATTGATTATCCCCAGAAGTTAATTGAGATGACCAAAGTAGTAGAAAGAAGAGACACTGCTTTCATTTGAACTGCCTTCAAAAATGAAGAACTAGTAGTGATTTGAAACCAATTATGGAATTGAATGACAGTAATTCAGAATTCAGGTAGATAAATGTCATATGGATGGTGGAACAATTTCATGAAATACCATTGTTATTCAAGGCTGATAGCTGATGATGTGAAAATATTACAATTTTTTTTTCCAGCGTCGCTGTCGCTATCGATTTTTGATAGAAACCGGTAAATTTATGATTTGTTACCTCTCGATTCCAAAAAAAAATTGCTCACGTTAAAATTTAAAATTTGTATATTTCTTTTAAAAAAAATTCACGTCGAGTTTTGACATTTATAGCAGAGTACTCCCTCCGTTCTATAATTATTATCTAGTTTGAGTTTTCATTTTTAGTTCAAATTGTATTAAAAGTGAAATGTGAAACTGGATAATAATTTTGGGACAGAGAGTATCTTTTATGGAGGACTGGAATACAACAAAATGTCCCTCCAAATTTACACCATTTTTTATGTACTCTTCTTCTTCCTCAATTGCCTTCCCAATATCAGACAATCCCTGAAGAAGAAGAAGGGGTCCCTTGCAGAAGCACTCGAACAACAACTAATGCTGCCCTCATGGCTGCTATAAACCTACAGTACTGCCTAATAATTTATGGGTTGTATGAGTACGAACAAATGGGCAGAAAGAGGTTTTTTTTTTTTTTTCCCCTTTTTTCTCCTTCTCGGGCGGGTGTCGAGGGTTTTTTTTTTTTTTTTTTTGAGATAGCGTTGTCAATCCACCATCCTGTAGTTAGGAGTCCATAATCCAACCGATTGACTGTCACTTTGTTAAGTGAAAGAGTGCGAGTCACCTATCATTACTCTAACCGAAAAAGTCCATAATCCGGCTTGTTATCATCAAACTCTTCCCTCATGTTGAAAACTTCAATAGTAATAGCACTTCTTCCGGTCTTTATTATAAGACATTTTGATTTCGTTCTAAATTTATTTTAAGATATCTTTTTAATTGGAAAAAAAATCTTAAAAATCTATTTTTATATTCCTTGTGTTCTCCTAATTATTATAAAATATTTTTAAGGATTTTATTCTAATTAAAAAGAGAAATCAAAATACCTTATAATAAAGACAGGAGGGAGTACAATATTTTTCTTCAAAAAATGAATATAATCCCCTTATGTAGTGATGTAATGTTTAAACTATGAACTCAAAAAAGTTTATTTTCTTTTGGATGTGTTGATCGGCAATGGTATCTTATTCTCTTAACACTCATAAACATAGCACTTGAGATTACTTTGAAAAGTTAACAAATATTCTCCTAACTAATTACTGGATGACTCGTAAAGTGCAAAATAAAAGTTGAACGTTACGGAAAAGAAAGATTTTTCTTTATAAAAAAGATTTCTTTATTGATCAACTCAACAGAACTATAATTAATATTATTATTTTTAATTTTTTTTGGTTGGACGGAAACAATAATCAATATTTTAAGCGTTCATGAAAATGTCAACTTTAAAGATACGTGAAAAACTAAATCAAGATTTGACCATTATATGATAATCTTTATGGGCCAAAAAATTTCAAGGAAAAAAAAAATATTAGAAAACAATTTATCGGCCTAAAAAAATATATGAAAACTTTTTATGTGGGCTAAAAAATTTAGAAAGCAAAAAAATTTTGCCTCACCCCCTAAGAAGGATTACTGGCTTACACAGGGTATTACATCATAACTCATACTCTCTTTATCCCAAAATTATTGTTTAGTTCTGTTTGAGATTTTACTTTCAGTACAATTTGAACAAAAAATGAAAAGCCAAAATTATTATCCAAGTTAGTTTGAGATTTCACTTTCAGTACAACTTGAATAAAAAATAAAAACTCAAACTTTCAGTACAACTTGAACAAAAAATGAAAACTCAAACTGGATAATAATTTTGGGATGGAAGGAGTACAAATTTGTACACATATTGAACATTGCGTATACATATATGATACCCCGGCCAGGGGCGGACTACCAAGTTTTTGATTTAGGGCCTATTTAAACAGATTTTGTTAGGCAAATTTTGCCGATGTGGGACATGCAATAAGAAATGATTCTTCTTCTCATAATATCACACTAAAACTCAAGCAAAATTCAGTTAATACACCGAATTAGAGCTTCCTTACAACCACTACAAAATTTAATTTTGTAATCCCAACACTGGAACGACTACATCAGCCAAAATAGGATTGAGCCCTCCTCGTGAAAAATCGATATTTATATACAAAGTTTGAGTGATAATTCTAAGTAACAAAAATCTTAATGCCTTAGTTTTGGTACCTTGAGAAGATGAATACTTCTCACTAACCCTTTCCCAACCTCACCAACAGCCTTTAACGTATCAACGGGCTCGATATCGTCATCTTCCATCATATCTCGACTTCGCTTCTGTAGAGCAGGCAAAGAAAATTATTCCACGTTCATTCTTATAGAGTGCCTACCAACCTGGTTTAAAAGTTCATAATGCTTACCTGCAGATTTGCTTTGCTCCAGGTAAGGCCAATTGCATCACCTCCTAAAGAATCATACCACACCTTGAATGTCTCAGGAAAGTCCCTCTGCAAAACATAAAGTGAGGAAAAAGCAAAAGGCTTTAAACTCGAAGACACAGATGTAACCAGAAGACAATCATAGTTAAACATCACGGCTCTAGGCTGATACTTGCCTCCATGTCGTTAATGAAGCACCTGACTGGGTCAAAGTCTACCATCACTTTGGTTTTGAGTTCCTCAAGGCTTTGCTTAATGTTTTTCCCTTCTGCAGGTAATATGAAAGGATAGAAAAATTTGCTGGACTGCCCTTGTGCGATGAGCCTCCCTACAAATTGGCAAATGAGCACTTTAATCATGATAAGCTGAGTATAAGATATAAACTAAGGCAACCACTCTAGCGGATAGAGTCCCGAGCTGATTGCAGACACTCATTCATGGGCAGATAAGCCATTTTATTAGGATAAGTAACAGGGGAGGCAAACAATGAAGAGGTGTAAAGCAGGGTCCAGTTGTAAAACCTTGATAAATTTCTGATGGGAAGAGAAGACGATGAGGAAACGGCATTTTATCCCGATGTAAAAGGACGACAGCATCATATTTGTCCAGGGGAGTGCGGAATAGACACTGCAAGGCACATTAGAGAAGATGTTAAACTATACAACAGAATCGGGAAGCTGTACAGTGGACAGCCACTTGATTTACCTCCCATCTATGAGAATCGGACTCCTTGTGCATGATGAGTTTGCTTAATAAATTTGCACCGCTGGTAGCATAAGTCACCAGTCTTTTCAGCTCCTTGTACAAACAAAAACAATAGCCAAAAGAAAGGATTTCCTAGTTAGCTGGAAGCTCATATAAAGGAGGATACTCTATTAATCAAAAGTACAGCTCTTTGTTAAAAAAGTTAATGGAGGTCAAGGGTTAGAACAGTCAAGTTCAGTCACTTTAATTGACATTTCATGAGACAACACTGCATTATGAAACAAAAGAAAAGAAAAACAGGACAGATACTCATTATAAAGAGTTTAGAAACTGAAAAGACTATTCAGGAAAACAGCAAGAAAAAAAAAAAGATTATCAGCTAGCTGAAATGATTACTTCCGTCCAAGAAAAAGTGGAAGCAATCAAAACCTAACAGATTTACAGTCACATGACACCTTTTTCATTAAAGGCATCAGCAGCAGCATCATCTCTGTTACTGCTTACTAGTCATATCCTAATCTAATCTGAGGGACCAGCTCGGTCAAAGGGGGTTCCGATGAAAACTCAATTTTATTGAAACTTTGAAGGCTAATGTCACAAAACTCTTCAGGAGAATGAGATGCTGAAGGAAGATAATCACAAGAGGAAAAGACATTATATTGCCTGCATAAAGTAGGACGAAAAATTATGGAAAGAGCAGAAGGGAAGTGGAAAGAGTGAATCAACAGACGGCATAAAAAGAAGAGGACTATAGCTATATGGAGGAGCTGAGATTATAAGTTGGATTGTATGAAGAGTTTTTTACATATAACCAAAAAACCAATCGGTTTTCCAATCAAAAAATAAAAGGTGTGTCCATTGGAACAAAAATCAGACACGGTCACGAACACCAAGACAAGGATTCTGCCCTTTATTATGTCTGAGATAAGAAAAAGATAGACTAACAACAGCAATGAAATTAATTTCATTCAAAGAGTGACTCACTGTTGCAGTAGGCGATGTTCTTGTCCATGCTTCAGATGCCTTGTCATAAGCAGCAGCCAAGAACATGGCAGGGCTTGCATCCTGTGGATTTTCTTCACTATTTTTTCGGCTTGACATGAAATTTTCCTGCCCAGAAACGATGCAAGGGAACTCATTTCAGCACATGATAGCATACGCGATGTCTTTCCATTTTCAACTCATTAGAGTTTGCAAACTCAACCATAAACAATTAGAAATGTTCTTGTACGGCTTACGTTGATCTCTTTTTGATCTGCTGAAGTCAAATCACCATTGATATCAACTACTAGTGCAGAGAACATCCAATCATAATCGGACAATAATCGCAGGAACCTGAGATAAGATGAATATTGCCAATGACATTATGCTAAACCATTCATATAGAAAGAGATCAGATTTATCAACAGCTCATCCCATGTAATCGCTCAAAAATTCACAATGGGCATGCAATTAATACAAATTTCATAAAATAGAACAAGAGTGATGCTAAAAAGGGAAAAAAGAAAAAACACACGCACACCCATCCAAGTCTAAGTTATGTTCTTGCCGCAAAGCAACAAGAAGTGAATGTGACAACTACTACTAATAGTATCATGCAGAAGATGTAGAATTGCTATTATAGAGCAAATGTGAATTGCTACAGGATAAGCAAGGACATGAGATGGTAACATGAGGAACAACAACAACACACCCAGTAAATTCCAAAATTTGTTGAGAACAGAAGAAAGAACCAAAAAAAAAAAAATCTCTATCATGAAGGCTAAAGTTGGGTTTTGGGGTTAAAGAATAACTTCAATTTTTATGGGCCATAACTGACTAGTTCCAAAATTGAATCCAAATCTTTGGGAAACCAAATGTTGAGCTTTATATTACTCCCACTATAATTAACCATGCAAAGGCAAACACTTAGGACTAACAGGCCATGGAAAAGAAGAAACAGAAAATTTCGAACAAACTTCATAGTTGTCCTTTTCGAACTCTTTGACTTCCAGAAAAAATTGTGATCTCGAGATAAATATAAATTACTCCCACTCTAATCCAGCAAGCAAAGGCAAACACTGAGGTCTATACATATATGACACAAATTGATCGATTCTGTTCCCAGTATCCACATAATATTGAAGACAGAAAAATTTAGCTAAGCGATGTGTGAACTAGATTAATGTAAAACCCATACTGGAGGTCCTACCTCAAAAACCCAGTTATTCGGGACATGGGAGGAGTAAATGGGAAAGGCTTCAAAAAGAGATGAGCAACTAACAACTCAATTGCCTCCTCGACCAACAAGGACGAAAGAAGATGAGCAGAGACCCAACGCTTCGCAAGCCTGTACAGACAATAGATGTAATTTGTTAAAAGGAGAATACGGAAAACTAAAAAATTCTTTTAAATCATTAAACAAAACCAAAAAACAAGAAAGAGCAGGCCACAAGAACAAGGTAGTTGATTAGGCACCTAACAACTGGAGCATATGTCGGATAGCGACCACACAATCCATTAATCATGCTCGAGTGCTGGCTGCACATAAACAGTTTCCTGTCTGTGGAAAGGACCCGCTTCACTGGACCACTGCCACCTGAAAGTTTTCCCAGGTTACAAAGGTGAAAGTTCCGAGTTTTGAAGCAAGGCTGCAACAGAAAAGAGATTTCTTACCTGGTCTTCTGACCAAATTTAAGCCCCTCTCATGCAATATCCTAAGGCGGAATGCGAAGCCGGACATGAAAACATCCACATCATCCTCTGTCGAAGAACAAGTCATCCCCCACTTGTTTTGAAGGCTGTCATGTCAAGAGAAAATCAGATGCGTCCATATTTGAGTTAAATGGGTAAAAACAGTAAATTTAACCAAACCTTTCTGCAATTTTAAGAAGAAATGCAGATTTAGTCTTCTCTAATGCAACCTCATCCATTGGCCAATTTCCAGAACCTTCAAGCTACAGATAGATCATCACTAATTCAGAGGCTGCTAGCTTGAGAAGGATAACCCAAAAAAAAAAAAAAAGAACTCTGATGAATCATATGCTTGCCTGAATCATGACTTCAAGTGGTTGTATACATGTTGAAGTCAGCTTTTGTAGTTTTACTTGCTTTTCAAACGCTAAGGGATGCGGCATTGGAGGAAACACAGATGCAAACCTGAAAGCTGTCATTAAGAGGTATTTGATATTAATACAAAAAGTGGATGAATATCTGCAAATATGTAGCTGCAATTTTTCGGCATAAAAAAATGGTGTGATATAAACATATAAACATTATCAATGGTTGTAGTTGGGAGACCAAAAAAGAATGGAAAAAGGAGCAAGAGAACACAACCCCAACATAACAAGTACAGCTTAAGATTTACATGAGCTATTCAATATTCAGTTCTCATCAATGGTGCTTACAAAAAGAGACCGATAAAGAAGGATGGAGTTAAGTAAACTGAAAGAGAAAAAAACCTGAGTTGAGTGGCTGCACGCTGGATATATTCAAAGGAATATCATCAAGATGACGTAATCGCTTTGACAATTCATCAAATGCCGGCAGCAGACTCTTCGAAAATGTGATCGGATCTGAGAACGATAATCCATAACATATCAGTACAGCTCAAAGTTATCAAGATTAGATATACAGAGAAGACAGCTGGGTCATGCCTCAAAATCGAATAACATGCTACCACATAGTACCTCTGTTTCCATAAAGAAGACAAAAATCAAGCTGATCCACGATAGGACAGATACTTTCCCTTGGAAGGGAAAAATGGCGTGAAAGAATATACTCGGTCAAGTCTTTCAATATCAGATGCTTTTCCCATTCATCACGTTCCCACACTGTCAATTGGCAATATCAGCATAAACCACATTTATTCAGGAATATCAGATACAGGCAGCAAGAGAGAAAAGTAAAAAAAGGCTCACCGACAACTTCGGCAATTCTACTATCCCGAAATTGCCTAAGAGTTGCTTTGTCTCCCCAAAATTTGCGGAATTTCAATGCCTTGCCACATGAGAAACATTATTGGAAAGCTCATCAGTGATCAAAATAAACTGGATAAATAACTCTAATATAGGACAAGAAATGAAGGAATATCATGGTGCAATACCTCTTCTTTTTCCTCAGGACTAGGGCCCATTGTAACTTTCTTGTAGGCTTCCTCCACTGATTTAGTGGAAATACCAATAAGCAATTCTTCTCCATCCAACATACTAAAACCCTGCAAAGACCACAAAATCTAAAAGTTTAACCTTTTTTGTAAGCTGAAATCTTGATAGATAACAGGAAATAAAGATCATACCTCTTCAAACTTGCAACCAGAAGTCGTATTCCTCCAAATAACACGGATAGATTTTGCTCTGTCTTCCAGTCCTTCAGCCATCTTAGACCATACGTCTTTCTCATAAATTCGCCAGCATTCATCATCCGTGCAAAATCCCCCCTCAACTTTTCCCTTGAGGTTCAATCTACAAGGCCAACATGGAAAATAAGTAGGAAGAACTGCGGCACAAGAAAGTGACAAGGAGAAAGTTCCTAACAACTGAATGCACTAAACAAGAAAAAAGGTATATCACACTTGAGGGGTGAAGAGATAAAAACACACACCCTCAAGACATTTGATATCATTTTGCATTAATTTCTCTTTCTACCATGAAAATACAGTAGTTTCAGCAGGCTTTCTCATCCTAAATACGGATAATTGATAACAAACAAGAGACAACATTACATCAAATGAAGAAACTCAGAAGGTCACACATCTAATTAAAGGACTTTACCGAACACAATAATCATATTTTGCTGGAAAGTCTATCCTGGTCATAAAAATCTCATCAAACCCACCACCTCCATATTCAGCCAAGCAGGCAAGTGTCAATTCGGTCTCGCCTTGAAGCTAGAATTTGAAAAGGAAAAAAAAGGGATGTTAAATCTTCATTTGAACCCTCAAATCCCCCTCTTACCTCCATGCAAAAAGAGAATGAAAAAAAAGTAGAGAATTGTTAACCTCTTGGAAACCATTCTTTGACATGCGGAATCCCAAGTTTACGTCTGCAAATGAATCACAAATAACTACAGGAAATGATCGCAAAGTTGTCATCTTTTCCTGCAGCATCAAGTCCACTCATAATCCACTCAAAAATACAATGCGATGTGTATTCGATATATCAATAATTCGCAACAGAAATGCGTTAAAGCATCTAGCATTGAAAATTCAGTGTCACTTCTTGATACTGAAGCACTGCTAAAATGCCAATTGTGCACAAAAGTACCTTGTTTGAAACATTTCTTTCACCTTGTGGATGGAATAAGATGCTGTTTTTCTCACATTCATATTTGGCTGGGGAAGAAAAAAGCACCAAAAAAGTGTATTAGAACTCCTTAAGCGTAATAACAATTTGACAATCTTTGGAGCAATTTTGTCTCTTGAAAGTCTAAGGCACATAACTATGGACATCACACGTCAAAATGATTGGCCTAAATCAATCAAACAAAATACTTGGACATCACAGAACAGATTGGTTTCTCAGTAAGTTTCCGAATGTATTTTTAAGGAGCAAATAGAATTCAAGTGTATCAGATTGCAGCATGCTCAGTGAATTCTTTGGTGAAATGAAAAGAATCGGCATACCTATGAAGTCCAGAGTCACACGAAATATCTGCAAGGGACTCATTAACTTGTTTATGCGATTCCCACCAGATTCTGTTGCTAGGTAGGTCATGATCACAGAGATCAAAAACCCATTCAAACAATCATGAGAATATATAGAACTTCTCTGTCGTGCCCAGACCTACAAGATGACATTACAGTAAGAATCAATCTTAAAAAGGTCAAGTATGAAGCTGCCCATTTATGTTGAGCAGGTGACATTCAATAAGGTGTCAACTCGGATACATACTTTTAGAAGCACCAAAGCCTCTCTCAACTCTTTCCATCCCAAAAATGTTCTTCTGATAAATTCTGCATTATCTTCAAGCACCATGTCCTCTAGTATACTACTGTTATATAGTGGTGTGGCTTGTGGAACATCCGCTGCAGTTTTTCCAAAGGCAGATCATAAATGCACTTGAGCAGGGAGATGAAATTGGATTGATGGATCTTGAAAAAGCACTGTAAACTACCTTGGTTTAGGGAGCGGACATTGTTGCGAGCCAAGTTTAACTTGGATAAACTGAACACATCTCTGTCCACCGTAGGAATTATTCTCAGAACAAAGGCATGGTTTTCAGACGCCTCTGTAGTTGCAAAAATCAAAAGGAATATTTAAAATTTTAAAATTGGACTTAATGTTTTTAAGTGATATCCCAATCATAATCGAAAAAGGTTAATGTAACTCTGCAAGTGAGAAATAAACACCTGGTTTCACAAGTAATATAGGTTTTCGCGCCTCATTTTGGAAGGTAGACCAACAAATATCATCAAACAGTGAAGACGAAACTAAATGATTCTTCAACACGCACAAATAAAGGAATCTTTTGGCATGGTACCGATAGTTGAGATAGTCTTTCTCAAGGAAGCACTCCTGTCATGACAGGACAAAGAGATCACAATTTGGTGGTAAAAAAGAATGGATTAAGACCTAAAAGACTGTGCAATGAAAAAGATCAAGACTTGGTTTTTAGCCAACCCACTATCGCTTGCTCATTTTAGCACACTATTCACATAAAAACTTTTCCCCCATCCAGAACAAAGAAACAGAAAACATGTATGATCACAAAAACTGACATATGCCAGAATCAATACAGGCATCTCGCCAAGCCAACAATGGGATGGTCATTCAAATGCCCATGATTATTAAAAACTACTCGAAAGCATGGCTTAATGAATCAAGTGCAACATATGCTATTAGCCAAGCTGAAATTCACACTCAATCTTTGCAATCCAACAAAATTCTCAATCCCATACAACCAATCCATCCGAAGCTTTCAAGCTTTACATACTTCAAAATGAAAAGTTAAAAGTAGAAAGACTCAATGGTAGCTTAGCATACCTTGGGTATACGAATAAAGAGGTCAACATTAACATCCGGCTTGGTAACACATTGCATTGAATAACTACCAGCGATTTCATAGAATTTCGGCCGCTTAAACTTAAATTCAACTTTGTCAGCTCTAATATCTCTTACAAATCCGGGCGCCAAATCAGCTGTAACCTGAACCAAAACCATTTCACAACTATCAGCATTCAGCTGCAATTTTTAACAACACAGAAAAAACAAAAGTATTTATACAATGAAAAAGGGAAAGTGAAGGTAAAATCAAAACCTGCAAATCCTTAGGGATTTTCCGAATGACTTTTTTAATGGAAGAAACAACGTCGTCAACACTTTTCGTGAAGGCAGGAGAATAGTCGAGCTGGACCTCCTTTAAGAGTTCTGAGACTTTGAAGCTCATAGAGTCCATGTACGTCGCGCCGTCGGAAGCCATAATTTCCGGAAGTGCGTTCCTCCGGTGAGGATGGACGCCGGAGTTACGGCGGCAAGCAACCGAACGGTTATTAGGTCTGTTAAAAAGAATTTAGAGCGAGAAGAGAAAAAGAAAGCAGAAGAAAATTAAAAGCTTAAACCCCTCTAAAACCCAAAGGCTTTTGACGATGGCGGGCTGAAGTTCAAGATAACTGGGCCTTCTATAATTTTTGGGCTGAAAACCCATCGAACCATTTTCGTAAAGTGTACAGTAATTCATAACCATTTCGTAGCGGACCCACAGGGCCAGCAATACCATAATGTTATGCCCTTAGGGCTAGAGTTTGAATAATAACTAATTTGAAATGTACAGTCCTTTTGACTATTGATAAAATGTTTATTCCAGTCTAAAATCTCAAAACTTCTTCATAATTACTATTAGATTCTTTTTTCGTCCAAAAATGAAAAATAAAAAAAATTCCAGTTGAAAAGAACAAAAAAAAAAGATTATTTTTATGAGACAGACCGAGTACATTTTGGTAATTTGCAGATAAAAAAATTTCTTTTTTCTCATTAACTCATCACATTTGACAAATAGTTGTCCTGTCCATAAAATCTTTCGACGAAGCAATGAACTTCTACGATTATGTTTTGTTTCTTTTTTCTCAGGTGACAAAAACGATTTTATTTCATTAAAATTACACATAAAGTCATAAAGCTCCAAGTTTCGCTCCATTTATTCTTAATTAAAATTGATGACTTAGACTATCTTCCAGATTTTGTGACCGGGCATGGACCATAGACCACTTTGTATCTAATAACACACACACATATATATATATATATATATATTTTATTGAACTAAAATGGTATAAGAGATTATCTATGGCCTCAGATTATGCTGGATACGTGTTATTTTACTTGTTTTTATGTGCATGTGTACAATATTTTAATTAAAATGTGATTTAGTTCAATTTGGGTGGCAAAATATACATTTTTACGGTTGATTTACATGAACATATCATAAAATCAGATTAGTACCATAGATTTGGTTGTTGAAAAGAAAATTTGTCTAAAATCGAAAAAAATGAAACTGTATACATTTTAGTTTTATATACTAATTAAGAGGCTCGAATAATAATTCAGAGTAGTATAAATTTTACGTATATATATGTCTCATTTCATTTTGCATAGTAAAAATGAATTAGTGTTACAATTATTACTACACTTATCTTCTCTACTTTTGTGTGGGAATGCATTAAGGATGTATCTTATATGCTATCAACCTATAATTAAGCGCCGGTCAAAGGAAGAAATAACTAGCTAAATATAACAGTCCTAATTCATGAGATTAATCAAGTTTGAGTTTGAAGTTGTCGCATGGTATGTGTCCCCTTCTCTGTTGATGCATAGCCTCTCCTCATTTAACCTCATTTTTTAAGAGGTGTCCCTCACTTTTTGTATGTTCTCGTGCTCCATATTACAGAATGGATTGTCATCCATTCAGATCCCAGATCATAGCTTGAAAATAAAAAAGGATTCAATTATCAGAAAAACATAAAAATAAAAATAAAAATAAAGATGGATTTTGATAAGTACGAAGAAACCAAAAGGGTAAAGAAAAAATGTACTTGTGCTATAGCCAGGGATGTAATAGCCATCAACCGCTCCGTCAAAAGATTCTGCTCCTGCAAAAAAAGAAAAAATACTTTGAAAATTTATACATCAAGTTCTTTTTACAATATTTTGAGTAAAAAGAAAAAAAAACAATATTTTTACTAGAGAAAGATTTATAATATCGTTAAATAGTTTGCTCGATCTAGTAGTGTGTATCTTACGATTATGTATACCAAGAAACTCGAGAGAGCTAGCACACAAAAGTTCCAATTCAGGATCCATACACTACTTGAAGCGGATATCGTAATTCCTTTTCGGTCCAGATGCAACATCAAGAAATAAAAAATCAACGCAAAATGATCACAAAACTACAGTTTCAGCTGGCTGTCTTACGAAGGGTATATGATTATCAAAAAGAAAATGGGTTGAATCGAACAAACATATCTTGAAAGACCATGTATTTATAGTAAGAAACTGAACAAGCCCAATTAATGGAGAAGGGAAAAAAAAAGCTTGAGATCAGGGTTTCAACCTCTTAAATTTGATATTTTAGTTGCGGCTGGCTAGTTCTTTTAAAATCTGCAACCAAATTTCAAAAGTTGGGTTTAACTGTTCAAAGTCTTTCGAAAGGAATTCAAAGAAGATTTAAAAGAGGGTTGAGTGTTATATATTGAATGATTTTGGGAGCGACGAAGCGAGCAGCGATGATGATCTAGGCGACGGTTGATGGCCTAAAAGCTACAAGACAGAGTAATAATAGAATAGAGAGAATAGAAAGAGAGGTATGTGTATTGTGTATAGAAGGTATAGAAGATGTGTAGAAGATCTGTATTATGAGAGAGGCAGTATCTCTTTATATAAAGGTGGTGTTATCTGTTTCCTAAAACTCTAGCGGACCAGATTTTGACGATAGCTTAATCTCTAAGTAACCTAATCCTAAGTCCAATAGGCCTAGGGTTTAGTTTGAACTCGCTAGGGAGTACATTTAATTTATTGAACATTTTGTGGGTGGTGGTTGCAGAATCTTGAATGCGAAGCATAAATAAAATGGAACGGTTTTGGACTCATTTATTTATTATCAAATGTTATGTCAGAAACTTTCATTTAATTGCTTCCAAATAATCGTACTTGAAGATTCTGCAAGATCAGATGTGGTTATAGTGAATTTTGGCTGCGTATGTCAAATGATATTTCGACAAAGAAACATATACTATGAATAATACTTTTTGTTGAACTCTAACATGATACTCTTTAATTATTCCCCCTCCCCCCAAAAAAATTCATATTGTGTTATGTAAGTTGTATTACTATTAATATTACAAATCAACAAATATAATACAGACTAATTTTTTTTAGAACAAAAAGAATATTGAGTTGATCTCGTTCTGGCTGTAGCTCAAGCATAAACTAAGGTTTCGTTTGTTTGTTTCTTTCATTGTTTTTTTTTTTTTTTTGGCGTTTTGAAATCGGAAATTATTTTTTTGGAAATGTGATTTGGAGTTCAAGGATCATTCTCATGGCAAAAAGATGAGGTATACGACTAGGCAATTAAAGTATTTGCTTATTCAACAGTCTCCAAACTATCTCAAAATGGAGTCAAGTACGTTCTTTATAGTCGCTTCTTCATTATGGGATAAACATTTGTGTTTTTTTCCTCATCAAATCTTGTGAAACCCGCTGGTTAATGATTAATATAGCAACCATTCTGTTCATTCGGTCAACTCAAAAAAAGGGTACATATTTTCTGTTTCCAATTCTCACGACTCCACTTAATTTTGCCAAAAAAAAAAAAAAAAAGAGAATTCAACCGTAATTCAAACGAAACACATAAAAAAAAAATTATTTTCCGCAGATATGAACCAAATACTCATCTACGTGTTATATGTGTACAATGATTTAAAATCTGACTTGATTCGATTTGGAAGGACTATTATATAACTCCGTGGTTGTGATTAATTAACATCAGCATATACTATTCTTAATTTGCAATATCATCATGACAGCTACAATGGAATCAAATCAGCACCATTGATTTGGTTATTTTATCATGTTTAAAAAAAAAAAAAGACTTGTCCGTAATCGAATAATTAAACTGTTAAACGATCAATTATTTCAAGTTAGACGCTTTCAATAATACTAGGTTGACAGTGACCGCACAAGATGCGGTTATTGGAGATATAAACCCGTGGTGAAATTTAAAAGGATTTGTTAAAATCAAATTAAAATAAAAATTTGTAAACTACTTAGATTGCATTATGGTACAAATATATTACATGGAATATATATTACAAATGTACCGTGACCTTATTAGTGAGAATGCAAACTCATTGAAAGTGGAAGATCAATCCGTGATAAAAGAAACAGCTTTCAAACCATAGTGATTGCTCATTTTCCATAACTCTTCAGTTCTTAGGACTTGAGTATCATAGTGAAGTTTCAAATTTTCAGCTCTAACAATATGCTCATCAATGCCTATATGATGTTAGCACTTACTGTTTCAGTCGGTTCTGAAGATGGTATTGGTAAGTCATTTTCTGGCCGACTTGAAAGCAGCTCCAATTATTGTCACTTCTTTTCCCGTTTTCTTCCCTGGGTACGGCCAGAACAGAGGGTATCCACGGGTGTCATAATCACTCTATTCAGTACAATTATTTCATATACCTCTTCAATTGGCTCCAGTAGCCATGACTGCCTCTATACTGTTGTATATATCTGAAGCACCATTTTCAAACAACGGAAAAGCAACCGTATTTACCGAAAATGACTTAAAACAAGAATTCCTCTGGATAAACAATGGTACTTCATGGCTGTATTATGGATATTTGTCAGTAGCCTTTTATTCTTGCATATTGTGCATACTGTAACTCCAATGAATCTCACATTTACTCTCCCAGCGGGAAACCCAACAGAAAATACAAAACTCCTTTAATATTTAATGAGCACACCTTATTGTAGCTTTCTTTCTCCCTTGATAGCTTTGTACGTCGTCATAACTTCCCTAAACTTAGCTTCAACAACCTCTGCCACAACAAAGAAGTATAAATTAGTCAAAGCGGAGATGTTAATGAGAACGAGACAGGAGGAAAGTTCCAGGAGGTGGGAGGTTTTCTATGAAGTAGAAAGAAGGTTTGAAAATTAGAAGCTGGGAGCTCAACTTTATGCACGAGGTTGACAAGTAAATTTGATGATAGTGAGATCAATTTGCACCTTTATTATTCTGGTTCTGATCCGGATGGAGCTGCAATGCCTTTGCCCTAAAAGCTGGCTGCAATGCAAATGGAAATGAGGGCAAAATCAGTTGACACTGAAGGAAACAATAAATAAAGCAGTGCACAGTTAAGCAGTGAAACTGCATTATGACAATCTTTGAAATTCTTATTAGCACACATCATAGCAAATCACATCAGGTGTCATTATGCGAGAAGTGTGGAACCAATCTACCAAAGCTGATTACTTTTAAGCATCTCTCCACTACTTCCAAAAAAAGAAAAAAAAGAAAAACGCATCTCACCACATAATCAACCAAAGCTGATCTAGCTACTGACCAAAGTTCTATCCTCCCACCACCAAAAGAAAGAAATGATCACCCCTTTCGTTCATTATCTAAAGAATACTACTCATCGCTTTAACTTTTGCTAAGAACAATTGAGCAGTTTCTCCAAAAATTATTCATAGAGATTGGAGAAGAATAACAAAGAAGCATCCAAATACCTGTATCTTTTCGTGTGTGTAAGGCTTTGTCTTCGACCTGCAAAGCTCAATCATTGTTCGCTAATTAAAACTTATTACCCACTTAGTGTTTCAACTAATTAATAACACTTCTCTTGAGAATTTTATCGAACACCTGAATGTAGGTAAGAAAGAATAATTGGCATGTATAGCAATTGGCATTAGAAACTCAAATGGCAAGGTAAATTTTATTATGCACATATCCATCTAAAGTCAAGCAATATTTCATCTTATCTCAACACAATTTCGTTTCATGCCAATCATCAAAGATAGTATTTCCCAAAAAAAAAAAAATCATCAAAGAAAAAAAAAAACAAACTACAGCATAAACTCGGCGCCCCGTGGCGTCGATCTGCCTTTCTCTGATGAGAGAACCTTCTTTTTGCCAATGAGTTGAGGAGAGAGATTTGGAAAAGAAACCGGAGAAAGGTTTGGCAGGAGAGAGGGGAGGCGCCATTTGAACCATCACCGGCAACCGAGAAATACAGGAAACGGACTGAGATGCCGCAAAGAGCAGAATAGCAGCTCATCCAATCGGCCAACTACACTTATAGAAAAGGCACCGACAACCGTCACTATACCGTGCCATTCCAGCCTTTTATATATGTAGATATTGTAATGCATTCGGTGATGCTGATGCTAGATATTTATTCAAATACACGTGAAAATTCGAAAAAACATCACTACTATCCATGAATTCTACTGGAGAAATGATTCTTCTCTGTTCATCTCTCCATAACTTCAATCCACACTCTTTAATCTCTATAAATTAGCAGCTTCTCCCTTAAATCTTTCTCCCATCAATTCGTTTCACCATTAATTAGAGCCTAATTAGCCCGGTTCATCATCATCATCATCATCATCATCATCATCATCAGCCCACTTGTCCCTCTTCCGTTTTGTTGCTAAAAACAAAGCTTTTTGCAGTCCCTGAAATTTATCATACAAGGTATGCTTCTGATAACTTCATCTAATAATTGCAGTCTACCCCTATTGTCAATTGGTTTTGAGGTGGAACCTATGAATTTCTATATGGTATCAGATCCAGCCTGTCAAGAGTCGAACTCCAAACCTGATATGATAGAACTGGTAGGGTCGAGGCATGAGGCGGTGACTGGGCTGAAAAAAATAGACAAGCCCAACCCAAAAAAGAAGCATTGGGCTTGCGGGGAGTGTTGAGTATCCCACATCGGTGGTGGGAGAGACTTGGTATCAATAAGAAAAATAGACAAGCCTAACCCAGTTGGACTTGCGGGAGAGTGTTGAGTATCCCGTGAGGCGGTGACTCGACTGAAGAAAAATAGACAAGCCCAACCCAAGAAGAAGCGTTGGGCTTGCAGGAGAGTGTTGAGTATCCCATATCGGTGGTAAAGGGAGAGACTTGGTATCAATAAGAAAAATAGACAAGCCCAACCCAAGAAGAAGCGTTGGGTTTGCGGGAGAGTGTTGAGTATCCCACATTGGTGCTGGAAAAGACTTGGTATCAATATATAAGTCTATGACCTACTCCCTTCTATAATAATTTTGTATTCTCTTTTTCTCTTTTTTTCCTTTTTGGGTTTTAGTATGATATTTTTCCCTGCAGCAGAGTTTGATCCAAGTGGATAAAAATCTAACTATGACTATCGAGCCGACTGCGAGGATCACAGAGAGGAAGCTGGCGGTGCTGAAAGACCAGACAATATTGACAAACCTGCCCGAAAATGTGATTGCCAATTCCGGCACTGATTCAGGGCCGGTGGAGGGAGTTTTTTTGGGTGCTGTTTTTGATCAAGAAAGTAGCCGTCAGGTAGTTTCACTCGGAACATTGCGCGATCTCCGGTTCATGGCGTGTTTCCGATTCAGGTTATGGTGGATGGCTCAAAGAATGGGTGACAGGGGAGGTGACATTCCCCTGGAGACCCTATTGTTGTTAGCGGAAACCAAAGATATTGATGGTCAGATTGCTTATACAGTTTTTCATCCTTTAATTGAAGGCCCATTAATTTAGGGGTGTTTTGTAAGGGAATTCCCAAGATGAACTTGAATTGTGCTTAGAAAGTGGGGATAGTGATACTGTTGGACCAACTTTTACTCATTCTGTTTATGTGAGTTCCGGAACTGATCCTTTTGGGGTCATTACTGAGGCATTTAGAGTAGTTAAATTACACCCTAAGACGTTTAGGCAAAGGCATGAAAAGCAGCTGCCTGGGATTGTTGATTATTTTGGATGGTGTACTTGGGATGCATTTTACCGGGATGTGACTCAAGAAGGTGTTGAAGATGGCCTTCGGAGCCTTTCTGCGGGCGGGACGCCTCCCAAGTTCGTGATCATTGATGATGGATGGCAATCTGTTTGGGTTGATGATGAAATTCAGGGAGAAACTGATCCAAAGCAGCAGCAGCTGCAGCAGCCACCTTTGAATAGATTGACTGGAATTAAGGAAAATCCCAAGTTTCGAAACAAAGATGATCCAACTCTTGGGATAAAGAATATAGTGAAGATTGCAAAGGAGAAATATGGGTTAAATTATGTTTATGTGTGGCATGCGATCGTTGGATATTGGGGTGGGGTTAGGCCTGGGGTGAAGGAGATGGAACATTATGATTCAGCGATAAAATTCCCTGAGATTTCTGAGGGGGTTATGGAGAATGAACCCGGATGGAAAATCCATGAGCAAATTGCTTTCCAAGGTTTAGGTTTAGTGAATCCGAAAAATATGTACAAGTTCTACACTGAACTGCATAGCTACTTGGCTTCTGCTGGTGTGGACGGCGTCAAGGTCGATTCGCAATGCATATTGGAGACCTTTGGTGCTGGTTTGGGTGGCAGAGTTGAGCTGACCAAACAGTACCATCAGGCGCTTGATGCTTCCATTGCCAAAAGTTTTCCAGATAATGGTTGCGTTGCCTGCATGAGCCAAAACACAGATGGACTTTACTGGTATGTTTATTGGACCTTTGCCTACCAAGCTTTTAAAAAATTTCCTTAGTTTATTGGTATAATAACAATGAAAACAGAGTTGTACAAGTTCAAAATTTGAAACTCCAATGTTGTTTCTTCCATGGTTCATGAAACAGCTCAAAACAAACGGCTATTGTGAGGGCATCTGATGATTTCTTTCTGCGTATTCCCGAATCGCATACAATTCATATAGCTGCAGTAGCATATAAGAGCATTTTTGTAGGAGAATTTATGCAGCCTGATTGGGACATGTTCCACTCGGTCCATCCAGCCGCTGAGTTTCATGCTTCAGCCAGAGCTATAAGCGGTGGTCCTCTTTATGTGAGGTTAGAATGCTTGTTATTGCTTTTCTCTTCTATTTTAGCTTTTAGTAAATTTGCCTTTTCAGTTTCCAACCATTGTATTTCCGAATTGAATGATCTACATTGTGAATCACACAGGAAAAACATTGTACCTAGCTGATTTATAGCTGGATTCTTTCCTGATTTCCAGTGATGCGCCAGGGAAACACAACTTTGATCTCCTTAAAAAACTTGTCCTGCCCGACGGTTCAATACTTCGAGCCCGCCTTCCTGGTCGGCCTACAGTGGATTGCCTACTCTCTGATCCTTGTCGGGATGGTGTTAGGTAGCATTGACAAATATTACAAATAACATATATTTTTTTTTTGGAAAATGTATCTTCAGCAAATTTTAAACGGCTTTTAACTGAATTTTTTCTATTGATTTTCAGCCTGTTAAAGATATGGAATATGAACAAATAGACTGGAGTCTTGGGAGTATATAATTGCCAAGGTGCAGCATGGAACAGTATTGAGAAAAAGAACACATTCCATCAAACGAATTCTGAAGCCATAACAGGATACATTAGGGGCTGCGATGTACATCTCATCCGCGAAGTCGCTTTGGATCCCGAGTGGAGCGGTGATTGTGTTGTTTACTGTCATTCTAGTGGTAAACTTGTTTGTTTGCCCCACAATGCAGCAATGCAAATCTCCCTAAAGGTTCTTGAGCAAGAAATTTTCACCGTAACGCCAATCAAAAACTTGGCTCCCGGTTTTAGCTTTGCGCCATTAGGCCTCATGCATATGTACAATGCTGGAGGAGCAATTGAAGGGCTCGAATATTATGTGAAGGCTGGAACTCAGTTGTCTGAAAGGAAAGGGCCATTTTGGATGGGAAGGGAGTTGCTGTAGTTCGGATTGAAGCCAAAGGATGTGGGAAGTTTGGTGCTTACTCATCTGCTAAGCCCAGAAAGTATTCAACCCTTGTGGATTTCACATATGATTCAGATTTTGGATTGATCTCCTTTAACTTGGATGATATGCCTTCAGAGGATCAAAGAGTCCGTTGGTGGAGATTGAGTTGTAATTTTGGTTGTTTTGGCAATGTTTTTAAAACCATTATATACCTTTTATAACTAATGCAAATCCTTGTACTTCAGTTTTACAGAGACAGTATAAGGGAAAATCCGAGAATAAAATTGGACGTATATATGTCTCATTTCATCATTAGCATTTTAAATGAATGATTTTGGGATTACATTTTATTGAGCATTTTGTTGGTGGTGGTTGCAGAATCTTGAATGCGAAGCAGAAATAAATTAATTATGGAACAGTTTGGGACTCATTTATTTATTATCAAATATTATGTCAGGAAATTTTCATTAATTATATTCCTTCCAAATAATCGTCCTTGAAGATTCTGAAAGATCAAACGAGGTTATAATAAATTTTGGCTCGAGTCTATCAGATGATATTTCAACAAAGAACATGTACTCTTTGCTAAACTCTTAACATGATACTCTTTAATTATCTCCCCAAAAAAAATCAAGATCGTGTTATCTAAGTTGAGTATGTTATTAATACAAATAAAAAAAAATATAATATGGATTAATTTTTCTAAGACATAGGAATTATTAAATTTATCTCATTCTCTCTTGATGCGGTAGCTCAACTGCTCAAGAGCTCGGATTCGTTTTCAAGATGACTGAATTCCTAACTAATTTTATTTATTTATTTTTTTTGGAAGAACTCCTAACTAATAAGTTTTGAGGGAGCCGCATAAATTAATGTTCCGTTTGTTTCTTTCTTTCATGGTTTCTTCTTCTTCTTGGCGTTTTGAAATCGGAAGTTAATTTTTAAGGGAAATGGGGTTTGGAGTTCAAAGAATCATTCTCATGGCAAAAAGATAAGGTGTATGACTAACGAAAGTATTTGCTTATCCCCAACATTTTCCTAACTATCTCAAAATGGAGTCAAGTACGTTTTCTATAGTCGCTTCAACATTATGGGATAAACATTCGTTTTTTTTTTTCTCATCAAATCTTTCGGGATGATTTTGACTCTAAAGATGTAAATTGTCGGTTTTTTGGAGAATCGGCGAACTTGGACGACATATGGCTTCAGAGTATCGAAAAGGTCAGTCTTGGGTTGGTTGAGATTGCGTTGTGATTTTCGATCGTGTATTCACCCATTTGTTCACATTTTTAATGCAAATTCTTCTTCTTTCAGTATTGCCGGAGAATGTAAGGCGCAAATCATTTCCAGGGCTGATGGAAATCACAATTGATAAAACAAATAAAAAATAGCCATATACATTTCCTACTTCACCGACTAAAAATTTTTCATCTCTCAACAGCAAAAGCGACCAAAACAAAGATACAAGTTCGATAGATATCAAGAGTTATTGCATTTTTCCTACTTCATTAACGTATGATAGTTGCGGTAACTTCAGTAATGGTCATTCATTCATCACCGCCACTAGGTGAATATGTAGTGTACAGATGGCTAGGTGCCAGTGCCCGGAGGCACTGACCGGCACTTAGCTTCATCCTTTTCCGCCCGAGTCAGATCCAACTACGCAGTTTATACAGCAACAAATTCTGGGAAGCTTTAGCACAACATCCGAGCCAGCCAGCGTCCAACTCAGTATCCAAATCATGGTTGACGACGACAATTTCATAGCTGTTGACGGCCTAATGATCAAGATGCTGAAGCAAGCAAAGATATTGACATTAAGTAAGATGATTAACATGTAAACCAATGATACACTAAATTAAGAATACTACGAAATCCATGAAAATCGGTAATAAGATTTAAGTTGTGTTCCGGACGATCCAGTGCAACTACAATAATCACTTAATTCTTGTAATTTTTTTTTTCCTCAACCAAACCCACTCTTTCTTTTGCAATTTTTTGATCCAAGAACAAAATAAATAAAAAAAAAACCAATTAATCGGACACCAAAGTTTTCAAAAACTCTGTAGAGAACAAAACCCTGGAGCTAGCAGGGGGAGAAAAACGAGATCGAGACCGACCGATTTGTGGGTAATTCAGTTCCCTCTGAATCTGAAGAAGTATCTCAAGATATTTGCCCTTCTGGGTTGGTGAAGAATTAAAGAAAGTTGAAATAAAAGAGGGATTATTCAATGGAGCAATGGATGAATGAAGTTGACGGGGGAGAATGGACTAATGTGGGGAGCTGTCCGGTGGTGAGGTTGTTGGTGGTTACAGAAACTTGAATGCGGATCAGACGAACAATATAATTTGATCAACAGCTGCTGTTGTTCGGATCGAATCCAAGGGATGAGGGAAGTTTGGTGCAAGGTCAATTTAACTCGGGTGGATTTCACATATGATTCAGATTTTGGCATGGTAGTTAACTATTTATACCATTGTATATTTTTTAACTAATGGAAATCTTTGTACTTCAGTTTTACATGGACAGAATAAAAGGGAAAATCCTAGAATAAATTTGTACGTATATATGTCTCATTTCATTAGCATTGTTATAAATGAATTTACAAAGACTACACTAGTTTTTTTTTTACTGTTGTGTGGAATGTACAAGTATGTATCAAGTTATTTGTTATATATGGATTAGACTCGAACTCGATTCCATTGCCCTATTATTATCCATTTTTAGGGTGTTACTGCTGCTCTTTTTCCAATTGTTTGCTCTCTTTTTTCCTTTTCAAATGTACAAAACCTTACAAATGTTGGAAGGGCAAATCGTGATTTCGTTTGTTACTCTAGCTACACATGAGCCAGCTTCATCTAAATGCTCTGCCAGGACAATAATTCCAAGGTACATGTCCAATATGAAAATTAAGTAGCTACTACCCTATTCGTCAGAGTTCATAGCTAACTTTTAATGTGATCATAAAAACAGATGACAAAAAGCTTAAATCGCCGAAGATGAAAATCCTCCTAACTAATTAAAATAACCCAAGAATCAGACATTGAATTTTCAGATTGGTACAATGCAAATATCAAAACTTAATATTGACTATTTTGTAAAGGACAAAGGAAGTATTAGACTATTAGTCCAAATTCGTAAGTTTCAAGTTGTGCGATATATATCCCATCCTCCGTTGATTGTTGATCCCTCATTTAAGCTCGTTTTTGAAGAGGTGTGGCACAGTTATTGTATGTTCTTCTCCTCCATATTACAGAGTAATTGTCATCCATTCAAATCCCAGATGTACACTTTAAAACAGAAAAGAATTCAATTATCAGAAAAAACAAAAAACAAAAAAATAAAATAAAGATGGATTTTGATTAGTAAGAATAAACGAAAAGCCAAAAGGGAAAGGGTGTTAATTAATTTAAGAGAACAAGTGTACTTGTCGCGCGGATGCAATCGCCATCAAGCCCCTGCATCACAAATCGGGTATGGCTCTTGACCATCATGACTACCAATCTCAAAGGTAGACTCCGCAGCGCCAAAGCTTTCATCTCCTGCAAAATATGGTTTTGAAAACATGTTCGTTGATATGCCTAGAACCTCACATCCATCTCTCTAAATAACTTTTGCAACCTTTCTTTAGAAATTTGTTCGTATATTTGTTTTAATAATATAGTTTTTACTTTAATTTTTTTCTTACTTACATATTCTTTCACTTTTTTCACTAAATTTGATGACCTCTCTTTAAAGTTTCATCTTAAAAAATTTACAATAATTATTTCATTTTTTCACTATATCTCGGTTTTTTTTTTCATATTTTCTTATTGTTTATATAATTTTTTCCTGCACATAATCATTTTTTAATTTCTAAAACTGTTTTTCTTGTACTGTTTATTTCTCACAAAGACTTTTATTCTTTTTCCTATTTTAGAAAACTTTCTCCCTATTGATATTTATTTTTTATTTTATCATCATAATGTTAATGTTTTATACCATTATATCATATGCAAAAAATATATTGAATCATTTAACTGATTTTTTTATGTTTCACTATCTTACCTCATTTAAAACTACAATAAGCAATGTACATACTCGGTCTTTTCTAGAAAAAAAATAGCATATTTTATAGAACTAAAATAGCACAAGAAAATACAATGGCCCAGTTTAAAGCAACATTCCAATTTAGGATAATTCAGTTTGAATTTTATGTACAATTTCTAAAAACAATAATCAAGTTTAAATTTTTATTTTTAATGCTCTTTGTATCAAAAGTAAAATTTGAAACGTGACAATCAGTTTAGGACAGAAGCAGAGACAGAAACACTACTTCTTTAGAGTATTTCGTTTAAAAGTTTAGAGTCTAAACCACGCAGAATGGAAGCTTTAAGTCCTACAGTTGCACAAAAATATGGCATGAAACAGTTAACAAATGTTATACGTAAGGTGTTGCCATGATGCGCAATTACTATTCTTCTGCATTAGGGGCTTTAATCTTTTCATTGAATGCACTGGAGACTTGGAATATTTCAACTGTAATTGTGCCTATTGCCTCGTCCGTGGTCACCATAGGACTGAAGATAAGAGAGGAGGTCGCACCATTGTCAAATTTGCAAATGGATGGAAAGGGATCTGTAAAATTTTTTTATCGCAATCTATAAAGAATAATTTGATATCACTGCTTAAATCAAGTAAACGTAATAATAAGAATTGAAGATGACTTGAGGATATATAGATAAATCCCATTCCAATTGATTAATTGAACCACTTATTCTGGGAAAATAATCACCAAAAACATTGTTTTCTTACCTTTTGAAGTGTCTTAGATTCTTTTCATAACTTGTTTTGATACGTGAATAAACTATGAGAAACCTCCATTTTTCTGAAGACATTAGCTTTTGTAGTGAATCACTGACCTCCGGTACACCAATATGATTATTGGATGAAGACGTAGTAGTAGTGACACACAATTTTTTGTGCATAGTGTACCTGCCAAAAAACTCAATTATAT